ATATATATATATATATATATATATAAAATTAGGTTTAAAACTCTATTATTATAATTTAATGATATATAATATATTTAACGAGAACCTAATAATTTTGTTCTTTTTTTTCTTAAAGGACTAAACATTCGGAGACAATAAAAAAATTCAATAACACGATCAACCTACAGAAAGACACAGAGAATTTGAATCCGATCTATGATAGAATAATCAAAGCTGTTTAACTTAGTTTACCATCCATACTGAACGTTTACGTGACACAGTATTTATATTGAAATATGTAAAATAAAAAAATTAAGTATATATTGCACTAAAGAATTTGTAAGGTACGTTTTAATTTGTTATTACAATCTTGGTTTGCGCTTTGCTTTCTTAAAAATCGAAATTCTTGTATGTACATCTATTGTATTTTTTAATGTTAATTTTAGACTTGATAAGGACCTAAACCTAAGGTCGAAACGTTGTCTTTTCTTGTATATGGCATCAAACTAATAATAATAAGAATTAATTTAAGCCAGTTGGGTCGTCTCACAGTTATTTTTAATTCGGAGACAACTTGTGGCATCATTTTGGAGGTTTATGAATTAAAATTCGAAAGTGTCGGACACACCGAGTTCGCCAGGATTCATCGCGCACGCGACAGCGAAGAGATTGAAAGCTTCATTGAAGTTGAACGAGAGGAGAGAAGGCTCTCTCTCTCTCTCTCTTACAAGCGCGCAAAAGCGAGGAAAGAAGATAGAGAACGCGCGAAGGAAAAGGCAGAGAGAGACGAGGATGCCGCCGGCGCCTCTGATCTCGGCGATTCCATCATCAGCGACTCCGGAATAGCAGATAAAAGGCAATTGGATTTAAATCATGAATACGAACGAAGCTGGGCCTCGAGGAGGAAGAGAGAAGGAGAGAGTGCAAACGCGACAGACACACGAAGAGAGGCAGCCCGAGAGCCCCGACGGCAATCTGGTGGTAGCTTTGTGACGGTAATGGCTTCAACCCCTGGCCTCCGACCCCCGGGGGTGCCTTGCGCCCTCCCCTTCATCCCCCTTCTTCTCCCTGCCTTCTCGTTTACCGGTGAACACGCGCGGGAGACACAGACACAGACACGTGCTTTCACGTGTTGCCCCGATCTCGAATCTCAAATGCACGCAAATATACGTATATTTGTATATACAGGGTGTACCTGACAAAAGTATATATGAAGCAAATTCTTGGGTTAATTTGCACATTTTTTTCCTTGGCGAAAGTGTCGCGGGAGGTCGTCTTTTTTTGCCAGCATGTAGTTTTGCGACTTAGCCTTCGATTAAAATTCTGTTAAAATAAACTGTACTTGAAATTAATTGAAATATTTTAATTTCACAAAGTTTAGTTTGCGGGAAGCAAAAATTTTTGCAACCTGAATAATTGAAAAATTGTAGATTTGTTAATATTTTAACTTCACAAGGTTTAATTTGCGAAAAGCAAACATTTTTGCAACTAACTCTTAAATTAAAATCTATGCCTTCGATTAAAATTCTGTTAAAATAAACTGTACTTGAAATTAATTGAAATATTTTAATTTCACAAAGTTTAGTTTGCGGGAAGCAAAAATTTTTGCAACCTGAATAATTGAAAAATTGTAGATTTGTTAATATTTTAACTTCACAAGGTTTAATGTGCGAAAAGCAAACATTTTTGCAACTAACCCTTAAATTAAAATTCTAAGCCTTCGATTAAAATTCTGTTAAAATAAACTGTACTTGAAATTAATTGAAATATTTTAATTTCACAAAGTTTAGTTTGCGGGAAGCAAAAATTTTTGCAACCTGAATAATTGAAAAATTGTAGATTTGTTAATATTTTAACTTCACAAGGTTTAATTTGCGAAAAGCAAACATTTTTGCAACTAACTCTTAAATTAAAATCTAAGCCTTCGATTAAAATTCTGTTAAAATAAACTGTACTTGAAATTAATTGAAATATTTTAATTTCACAAAGTTTAGTTTGCGGGAAGCAAAAATTTTTGCAACCTGAATAATTGAAAAATTGTAGATTTGTTAATATTTTAACTTCACAAGGTTTAATTTGCGAAAAGCAAACTTTTTGCAACTAACTCTTAAATTAAAATCTATGCCTTCGATTAAAATTCTGTTAAAATAAACTGTACTTGAAATTAATTGAAATATTTTAATTTCACAAAGTTTAGTTTGCGGGAAGCAAAAATTTTTGCAACCTGAATAATTGAAAAATTGTAGATTTGTTAATATTTTAACTTCACAAGGTTTAATTTGCGAAAAGCAAACATTTTTGCAACTAACTCTTAAATTAAAATCTATGCCTTCGATTAAAATTCTGTTAAAATAAACTGTACTTGAAATTAATTGAAATATTTTAATTTCACAAAGTTTAGTTTGCGGGAAGCAAAAATTTTGCAACCTGAATAATTGAAAAATTGTAGATTTGTTAATATTTTAACTTCACAAGGTTTAATTTGCGAAAAGCAAACCTTTTTGCAACTAACTCTTAAATTAAAATCTATGCCTTCGATTAAAATTCTGTTAAAATAAACTGTACTTGAAATTAATTGAAATATTTTAATTTCACAAAGTTTAGTTTGCGGGAAGCAAAAATTTTTGCAACCTGAAATTAATTGAAAAATTGTAGATTTGTTAATATTTTAACTTCACAAGGTTTAATGTGCGAAAAGCAAACATTTTTGCAACTAACCCTTAAATTAAAATTCTAAGCCTTCGATTAATATTCTGTTAAAATAAACTGTACTTGAAATTAATTGAAATATTTAGATTTGTTAATATTTTAACTTCACAAGATTTAATTTGCGAAAAGCAAACATTTTTGCAACTAACCCTTAAATTAAAATTCTAAGCCTTCGATTAAAATTCTGTTAAAATAAACTGTACTTGAAATTAATTGAAATATTTAGATTTGTTAATATTTTAACTTCACAAAGTTTAGTTTGCGAGAATCAAAAATGTTTGCAACTCTAACCGTAAGCCTTAAATTAAAGTTCCATTAAAGCAAACTGTACCTAAAATTAATTGAAGAATTGGAGATTTGTTAATATTCTAACTTCACAAAGTTTAGTTTGCGAGAAGCAAAAATTTTTGCAACCTGAAATTAATTGAAAAATTGTAGATTTGTTAATATTTTAACTTTACAAGATTTAATGTGCGAAAAGCAAAAATTTTTGCAATTAACCCATAAATTAAAATTCTATTGAAGTAAATTGTGCTGAAATTAACTGAAAAATTGTAGATTTGATAATATTTTAACTTCACAAGGTTTAATTTGCGAGAAGCAGAAATTTTTGCAACTAAGCCTCGAATGAAAATTCTATTAAAGCAACTTGTACCTGAAATTAACTGAGGAACTGCAAATTTATTAATATTTTAACTTCACAAAGTTTGAGTTACAAGAAGTCCTTCTTTTTTAATTATTCATAATTTTTAAATTATTTGTTCTTCGACACTTTCAATCGTCTCCAAATTGGCCAGAGAATTTTATGGTGCATTCATATTTTTTTGTTACACCCTGTACATATACATATATGTGTACGTATATAGAGAATTGCGCCGGTAAATTGGCAGGGCGTTCTCTTTCTCTCTGAAGCACGGGGTCGGCTGAAAAATATTCCAATTAATTACAGGTACAAAAGTGCGTTACGAAAATAATAATAACATTTGCGTTATTAAGCGAACGCAGATTTTACGCGACGATGACGACGGACCTCGACGAACGAGCAACTCCATCGGGAGCAAATCAATTCGTTTCGGTATTCTATTTTCAATAACGAGTGTGTGTAAAAAAATGGAAGCGATTCTATTAACCGTTAAAACATACGTATAAACATCGCGGAAAAAGAGAGAAAGAGACTAGAAACATCAAATGCGGATTTTTTTATCCCGAATTATGTCGTATAATACGCGTCCGTAATTATTTTAATGAGTTTTTTAATGCTCGGCAGAAATAATTATTAATAAATAGCTTTTGTAAGCTGAAAATAAAATTAAATGAAATATTATTATAAAATGTTATTTGTATGCATAATAAGTGATTGTTGGTTTAATGCAGTTTTTAGAATAATATTGTACCGAAAATAATTTAAGCGCGTTATTTATTTTCTATTTTCAATAACGAGTGTGTGTAAAAAAAGAAAGCAATTTTATTAATTGTTATAAAATATACATATAAGCAGAAAGAGGGATTATAAATGCGTTTTATTTTTGTTGATTATAATTAAGTATATCGCGTTTATCATTTTTAAATCAATGTACTCGGCAAAAAATAATTAATAATTTTTTAAACTGAAATAAAATTAAATATATATTAAATTATTAAAATATTATTCGCGTGCATAATAAATTATTAAATGCAGCTTTTAATAGAATAACAACGAGTCAAAAATATTTTAAGACTTTAAATTATAAATCTTAAAAATAATTATGAACCTTGCAAGAGCCTATTTACGCTGATGCTACTGAAGGGAGAATCAAATTTCTTCTCAATCTGCAAATAATTCAATAAAATAATAATTCAATAAAAATTAGAATAAAAATTCCTATAAATATGGGTCCAAAAAGTCGAGAGAAAAAAATCGAAAATACGCGGTTTTGACAATATATGATCTGATTTTAAGGAAATATAGGGGATGCTAATTTTTATTTTACACCCATGTTTAGGAACTTTGTTTCTGGCCCCTAGAATGCCCTTAAAATCTCTTAAAACATTTTAGAAACACCCTGTATAAACATATATATGATTAAAATCCTTTATCCCAACACATACATATACGTACACTGAAAAAAATTCAGTTAATTCTTATAAGTATTTATTTCAATAAATCATTTATTTGAAACTAATAATATTTATTTGCTATAAAAATATTGATTTGATGTAAGAAAATTTTTTCAAACCAAACAAATATTGATTTGTTTGAAATAAATGATTCATTTGACAGTATTCAACTAAATATAAATGTATTAATTTAGTCATCATTTTTTTCAGCGTAGGAGGAGAGCAGCGCTTCCTGGAGAATCTTCTGTCATCCTAATCGATCCCATCGACCCCGTTCGGAGAGACTCTCGCGGGAAGCCCGGACGTCGACATCGCGACGCCCGTTCACGAGCTCCACCCACCCACGCGTCACCGTCGTACATGCGCAACCCAGACGGTTCGCGAGATGTCATGTTCGCCAAACATCGTAAAACGGCTCATAGTGCCGTAATCAATCCGGCTGCAATTACCAGACGCACGTCCGCTGCGAGAAAGAGAGAGCTGAATTTAACGGGACAACCGACTCCGTTTATTGATAATACGTACTATAATATATAGCGACCACCGGAATATGTCGAGTGCGAATGCTCTTAAATAGTATGTTGATGCATATTAACAATAAGAAAATGAGTTTTTCATCTCTCGAACCCAAGAGCGAAACTGTATACAGGATATCCCAGAATTAGCGATCACTTATTGTTAATGACAGATTCTTGAGAGATCATTCGGAGACGATTTTTTCTCGGCGAAAATGTCGAGGCACCGATAATTTTTGAATTATAAGTAATTGAAAATTATATATTTAAAAAAATAATATAAACATACAAAAGTATATAAATAAATTATATAAATATATAAATAAATATAAATATATATAAATAAATATAAACGCGTAAATATCAATAAGAGAGAGAGAGAATTTAATATAAATATAATAAAATATAAAATATTAACAAAACCACATTTGAAGAATTTATTAATTTATTAATTTTAAGTAGTTTACTTTAATACAAATTTTAATTTAAGGCTTACAATTAATAAAGATACATGTTGGCAAAAATTTAGAACATGTAAAAAATGATGACACCTCCCTCGACTTTCCTTTGCTAAGGAAAACTAATCTCAGAAATCTATCTTAAAGGTTGATCTCTTTTCGCGACATCCTGTTTATATAGGGAGTATTTTATGAAATGCCTTTAGTTTGATAACTATCTTATAATCTCTATTACTTTTATGTTTAAAATGAATTTTCTGTAGTTCACCCGACATATTTGAGGCTATTTAAAATTCTTATGGCAAGTTAATAACGTCAATAAATTGAGGAAAAAAATAACGAATGGCTCTACAAACATTACAGGTAAAATTTCCGGAAGTATTTCAAAGAATTCGGAATTCTTTAGAAGACAGAGCCTGCATTGTTGCATATCTACCATAAATGAATAAAGTCATTTTCATATATAGTATCTTATATAATATTACACACGCAATAAACAAACACAGTACAACACATACAACAAATAAAGCAATTTGAAATTTTAACATAAAAAATAACAAAAAATTGTAATATAAAAATGGCATTATCTCAAAATCACAGCATTTTCGAACATAGATCTAATTTCAGAATCGTGTCAAGATTTCTTATACTTTATCGGTCACCGTTTTTCCATTATCGTCGGCGCATTTTTTTTTCTCACGGTTTTTTCTTTCTATTATTTTAAATTACACAAAAAATGAAACAAAACTACAAAAATGTATTGCACAGATCACCTAAAAAAAAAACTACCTACATAGACTTAACAATGGCTGATGACCACTTTACAAACTGAAATGTCTTCTTTTGTTCCTTGTTACTTAAAGTTTGTTTTAATGTATTACTGCCAATATATTGCATCCGTTACCCTTCGACTGGTACTTCGGGGTAAACAAGGGAAGCCCAGCAGGAATCTATATGAAACACCCTGACTCATAATAACCTTTGTAAACACTCGCATTCATCTCCAGTCGTCCTTCGTCAATGCGGCATGAAAAGGTCCCGGAAGGACCTGCATTTCCGCATTCCATCACCCTCGATCACTCTTACGCTTATTACAGAAAGCCAAATATTATGTATATTTTCTTACAAACAACGATCAGATTATCGAGCGAATTATAAGAACTAAATCAGTATTTAATTAACTAATAATTAAATATATTAAATATAAATACTTATATAACTAAATATTCTTAAATTTAATAAATTTTTGACGCTTAATCGGTGTAATATTTTTTATTTTAATTGCAATTATTTTGTAGATATTTCATTTTAATATAATGCTTTATAGAAAATTGTATCTTATTTTTAATGTTTGTACCATAAGATTACATGTATAATAACTATAAGTATATATGTGAGACCAACTATATACAAGATATAATAACGTAAACTTCAGAGATAATTTTTTGCATAATCAATATTGCTTAAGTTATAAATTTTTCATAACTTCTCACGTCATTTATACATTTATATGAAATTACATATCGATTAATACCTTATCTCGTTATTCTCCATAAGATTTTTACAGCCTAAAACACTTTCTTAAATAAATTACAAGAGACATATTATAAATTATAAAAATTGTATATAATTAAATGTGACTTTGAAATGTTTAACGCATCAAAAATTAATTATTAATTACTCGATTGATTGTTTTACTTGGGATGCGAGATTATATTCAAATGAAAAAATGTATCATTAAAGAAATATTTAAGGAAATAATTATCACTTGAAAATATATTGTAACGGATCGATAATTTATAATTCTTATTTTTTATTGATTCGATTATTTTGGATGAATAAATCGTGCGAAAGATGTTTCGGTAAACTGCTGCGCTTTAAAATAAATAATACGAATTTTTACGAATCGTGTGGAATTAATTATAATCGCGTACATAAAATAATTTGTGAACGCAATAGTTTAAATAACTAAAAATCTGTAGTATATTTTTTACGATAAAATAGTGATTAGAATAAATTTATAAAATGTTATATAAAACAGTGATTAAAAAAACTAAGTTTGTGAAAATATTTGACTAATTATCTTTTCTTGTCTACCCAGACAACAAAACGTCTAAAATAGACATGAGACGTTTTCTTAAAGGAGTCATCATAAAATGTAGTTTAGACATATTAAAATATGTTTTCAAGACGTCAATAAGATATCTTTAAGAGACGTGTCTTGTTTTCAGATGTAATGTTGTTTGGGTATAGTTTATCTTCTTTTAAGTGTTTGATTTTCTATAAACCTGAAAATGATAATGATGATTAATCAGCTAAAAATAATTATTTTGGTATAACTTAAAATATATGCCACTATAATTACAAAAAAATAATTAATCATAAAATATAAATATAAGTAAGTTAGAAAAATAGTGTATGTAAATAATAAGTATTTTCAAATAATTAGTATTAAAAAAAATTTGTATATAATTCAATTTTTATTCGTTAAACAAGAAAGCTTAAATTTGTTAAATACTATTTTTTAAAAATTGTATACCTAATTATATTCCAATACATACCTATATATGCGTGTTGTTTATAATATAATATATAGAATATCTAGAATATATAGTAAAATAATACGTAGCTAATAAAATATAATCAATTCCATTCGGATCGTATTTTTATGATTTATATAATTATAAATATGCAAAACAAATTCTCAAATATTTTATCGGTCGAAAAATGGTTTGGTTTCGTAACTCTGTGTAACTCTAAAATGAATGTAGATGGTGGTACCAAACAAGCATGCAATCTAGTCGCTGTTTTATCGTTAAAAAATAAAAAACAAATATATAAGTATAGGAATTCAAATTATATACAATTTTTCCAAATTATCTTTTAAAATAAAAATATCTTTCATATTTGAACAAACTATTTTAAATATTTGCATAAACTATACTATTTATTATTTTATTATTTTTACAAAATAATGAATAAATATATAGTTCATTAAAAACATGTCATTAAATAAAACATATTTCATTAAATTCATAAAGTCTTACAAATAGTATTACTTGTATATATCTTACATTTAAAAAAATAATCACTGCTGGAAAAACTAAAAAAAATTCTTGGAAATGAAAAATTTTAAAAATTAACTATTAATCAATTTGTACTGAGTGATTTTTAAAATTAATTTGAGCAATTTATAAGATTTTTTCGTTAATTATAAGAGAGACTCGCGTTTTTTAAATATAATATTAAGTGTTTTATAGATTTATAAAGTATCACATTACAAGCACATCTTATTGCAATTTGCTTCTCAAGTTTTTTTTTTCATTATTGTTAAAAATTAATTATAATGATAATTATTTCCAATTATATAAAATGTAAAACATACAAATTTATAAAAATTGATGTATAAATTCTTTTGGAAATAATCGAATCTTACAAGATATATTTCCTTAATACAAAAGGTAATCGGAAAATAAAACGACAGTGTATATTGCGAGTTTATTAATTATTAATATTATATATATTATACTTAATATTTATAACATATATATGTATGTGTGTGTACATATATGTATATATACACGCGTGGCCCGACACGTGGGTACATCTTTCTCTTTTCTCACATGCATGCATAAAAAGTCGCACAAAATCACGCACACATTCGCAAATTCTTGGAAATTTTGTCGGGACACGCGCGTATATACACAAGACACCCTGTACGTTACGATACAACCGCAAATATGTTTATTTATTCTTTTTTCTTTAAATAAGATACATGCAAAGAATTGTATATTAGCTCAAACGAGATAAGCCGTACTATATCGATAGAAGGTTGATTCGTCATACGTAGGCATCTTTTATATCAGTTTTTTTTTTTTAATTCTTTTCTCTTTCTCTCCTCTTCCTAGATCATCATTCTTTGTACCGTTCTTGTCCGGCACAAACCGTCCGGTTGTACCGTCTTTCACAGAATATCCTGCAGAACGAATATGCATATATGTATACGCGCGACTGTATGTATGTATATATGTACGTGTGTATGTGTTTTGTATGCAGAAAAAGGCGTTCTCTGACCCTTCTGCAATTTTATACGAAAAGCGTGATAACACATGTACTGCATTTTGTGTGTACGGAACACCTATTTTTTTTTCTTATCCGCAAGTACGAATTCCATGAGATGTCTCTTAATCCGACCTCGTTCAGCGAGGAACATATTCCTTCGCGAGTGAACTGTCAAATTAAATTCGGCGCAGAAGAGACGAGACCAGAGATATTTCTCGTTCTCGCTCTTGCTCGGTAGAATCTCATGCAATTCGCAATTATCGTTACATAAGACAATTCTCCGCGTCGCATGTTTTTCCTTCGCTGTGTCTGTGTATGTATACAGGATGTCCCATTTTAATCGATCATCCCCAAAAACTTTTATTTGTGATTGTACAAAATGTTTCAAACAAATGTTTGATTTGACAGAAAATGGTGCTACTGAATTTTTTCTATTGAACCACATTTTATATATATTTATATATATATATAAATTGAGTCTCTCTTTAAATCAAACACTTTTTTATTTGAAGCATTTTGTTGTACAATCAAAAATAAAAAAGCTTACGAGGGCGATCGATTAAAGTGGGATACCCTGTATGTATGTGTGTGTGATTTGTGTACTTATGTTTCTGGTAGTGTACTGTGTTAAGCGAAGAGCACACATTTTTGCATAGGCGCATAAGCGTAAGCATAAGAATCTTAATTGATCTATAAACGTATGCATAAAAAATTCAACCAATCGAATTTCTTATGCATATGTTTATGCGCTTATGCAAGAGTGCGTGCTCGCCGCTTTACACACCACCGTATTCTATGCGATTTATTCTCCTAAAGCTTATAGCGATAACTCAGTTTCATTGAAACGTCTTCAACTAGCGGCTGATATCGACGGGTTAATCGCAACGTCTAAAAGCAAGGGGGAAATGGGGGTCTTGGTGTCGCACGCGTGAATTTCTTTCTGATCTTCAAGAAAGGAAGATCATACGATAGTCCCGCCATAATATATATTTATATATGTACCTGCTGCGTAATGTAACATATAGAGGCTTAGAACGATTTTCGAAATTTTATAAAAATTGCAAATCCACGATATAATTTCACGATTTTTCTTTTTTTCCCCTTTTTTTTCTTACGTCTAGAGAGACTTCGCAGATTCTCCGTCATTTTTAGGATCTCGATTGAATTCGAAAGATTTTTCTTTTTCGGATAGAGATAAAATGAGTGTGTTTTAAAATAGAGGGTGATATCTTTTTCTCAATATCACACATGCAGAAGGCGCGAACAGAAGAGAGAGTTTTGTATACACATATGTATGAGTTACTTTCTAAATTAAAAAAAGAAAAAAAATTCACATAAATTCGACTATTCGACAATCTGCGATCAACACAGATTGTTTGTACAAACTACGATAGATTTTAAAAAAAAAGAAAAAATCACGAATTTCAATAGAATTTATAAGCGCGAATAAAACATACGTTGCTAAAATTTGTAAACATACTGAAGAAGCAATATAGAATTTATGTTATACTTAAGAATCCCAAAACAGTTAATATAAATAAATTCCGTCTCGTCGCATAATATTAGGAAAAATTATTATATAAATAACTAGTTAAACTTTATATATATATATCGCAAAAGGAACTGACTGTTATACGTATTTGGCTTGTCAGCGTCTGAAATAAATAGTAGTAATAATAATAATAATAATAAAAAGAGTAAAGAATAAATTTTGATATACAGAGATATAACATGCAATGTCTACCAACAAAATTAAAATTTAAAAGGTTTATACATTTTTACACAAGCTCGCAGTTCTCGCTTAACTAAGATAAAAATCTATCTAATATCGAGACATTTTTTTCCAACAAAGAAAACATTCCCAATTATAAGTATATAATTTTTAACTTAGAAAAAAAAAGATAAATGTTCTCACAATTTACTTTCCTTCTGCTAAATTTCACAGCGACAATTTTATCAGAAATAACATACATATATGAATAGATTTTGGGAACTCTCTCTTTTCTCTCTCTCTCTCTCTTTCTCTCTCTTCAGCGACAAAGTATACATTTTCTCGCCTATACTAAAAAAATTTCACATTACTCCGATAAAATACGATATTAATGCAGTACAACCAGAACTACAGATACCAACAATGCTTATGTTTTTTTTCAAACGATTTAAAATAGGCTGCCAATCTTCGTACGCTATAAAAAGACCGGCGAGCAGTGTGTAATGTCGCGATTAGGCTCTGGAGAAAAAGAAATTAATGAATTATATATATATATACAGTTTCTATACGGCTCCTCGGCGACTTGTTCGTTAGACCAACCGAGCTAATGTCAAGAATCAATCTATTATACCCTGCCTACTCGTTGCTATCATCGTGGGGAACACAAGAGGCGTTCAGCCAAAAAGCCACCCCCTCAGTTTCGCTTTGTGCGAAAGAACAGACGCGTGCAGAATTATTAGACTCAAACTTTTTTATGTTGAGCTTAAGTTTTTTAATTATTTTATATTTTTAATTTATTTTTAATTTTAGTTGAGTTATAGTTTGATTTAATTTAATTTAATTGCAGTTGTTTGACAACAGAATGTTTTAAACAATCGTCAAAATGTTAAGATTTGGAGAAGAAAAATGATCTATTTATTATATATTAAAATATAATTTTGAGTATTCTGTATGTTACAATTAAGGCTATTTTCTCAAATAAATTATTAAAACAGTAAAAATGTTTGAGTTTAATAATCTGAATAGACGTCAGTATATAAATAAATCATTTTTCTTCTTCAAACATCCAAAATTTTTACGATTAAAATTCCATTAATATTAAGGCTCCTGGCTCTTCGCCGATCATGTTGTGACGTCAGAGAAAACACACACTAAAAATTCTTAGATACCATTTTGTCATAAAAAGATATTTCGATGAAACAGTACTTTAGTTAGCTTTAGTACACTTTTAAAATATTTCAAAAACTATTCTTTTCCCTTTATAATAAATCAACAGTTGTAAAATAAGTTCGTCTGATTATTGCGCAGTCAGTTCGCATGACAATCTGACGTCACGATTATTTTTGTTGATTAATCGACTAAAGACAAAAAAGAGTTTTCTATCTAAAAATGACACGCAAAAATTCTCAACGCGCAGTTCCTCGCTTCTACGACGTCACAATCTAACATAGACGGGGCCTTAAATGAACGTGTCTATTAAAAAACGCAAAGAAAATATTACTATGAAATAATCTGAACATAAAAATGTTTGAGTCTAAGAATCTGCACACGTCTGTACGCGAAAATACGATAAAAAGGAGACAGAGCCGTATATCTAGCTCTGTCTCAACTTCGCGAAGTCGATCTCGGCGTAGGTGAAGTTCTCCTGGGTGGATGCCGGCGACACGGGCGGCGGATTCCCAATCTCCGGTAGGTCGAGACTAGCGTAGTGCAGAATCGTCGCGCCCGGCTGGAGCTTCTCGTAGCCCGTCTCGCTGTCCAACGGACTCGGCGTAGGCGTCGGCGTAGACGTCGGTGTAGGCGTAGGAGTCTCGTCGATGAACTTGGGCGACGACGAGGGTCTCGACTGCTGCACAGCGCCGCTCGACGGCTTGAAACCCGTCAGGGTGGGGCTGGTGTTCGGCGAGGCCGTGACGAGACGGGGCTTCGACACCGTCAGATCCGAGAGCTTCTTCGTGATGATGCTGCCGAGCATACCGTTGTTCTTTCCCGCAGGACTAGACGGCTGATCGGAGTTATTCGTCTTCGATGGCGACGACGACAATGTCTCCGTTGATAACGACGAAGCGGCGGAGCGCGACCCCATCGTAGAATTTATACTCGTCTTGACGGGTTCTATCAACGCGTATTCGTCGTCGGTCTTGTTTTGTTTCGTCAAAACGTCCGACGTGGAGAAGTTGTCGCTCTTCTTGAAGGGTTTCACGGGCGACTGCGGACTGTTCAGGGAGAACGGGAAGATCGTGGTCGACGAACCCGTGGGGGTCGCGCGAGGCGGTGAGGCCGGTGTGCTCGCCAGACTCTCGGACATCGGACTTCCGTTCAAGGGTAAAAAACTCGGGGTTTTCAATGGCTTGCTACCCGCCTGAATGGCGATTGGTTGCGATCGCGATTTCTCCTTGCGATTGCCCGTCCGTGTCTTCCGGTTGTTCCGATTGTTCACGCCCATGCTCATATTGATGTAGTCTTGCTCCAGGGTGGGTCGCGCCTTGAAGGACATCTCGACGTAGCCCTCCGGAGGACGCCTCGGCTGCGGAAGATCTACCGGCGCCGTTCTCGTACTGCCTGAATATTCGTCATTGCAATTTTTACAATTATTATCATTTCAAATCGTTTTAGATTATTTTATCATTATTATTATTTTATTTCAGAAATAGCGAGAATTTCAAAGTCTTTATTAAAAGTTACTTATGTCTTGTTTGTTGATATATAAGAATTTACGTTATTGTATTAAACATTAGTGATATTATATGTGATTTTACAATTTTGTTTGTGATGAAGATAAAAATGTGCCTTTGAAACAAAAATTATTTGTGACACTTATAATGAGAGCTGTATCTAAAAAAAACTTTCAATAATTTCAAAGTCAATAAATGAAAATTTCAATGTTAATAATAATCCAGCATTTATTGCCTGGAAAATTATTTAAAATTATAGCAAGCAAAGGAAAATACTTTGATTTAAAAAATATTGTATTGTTTCTTTAATGCATATAAAAAGATTGCCTACAAAGATCCAGAAACTTCTGCACAGACCTAATATTATCTCTAACTCTCTCTTATTAGCCCATAATCTATTTGAATGTTTATATTTTTATATATATTATTTTCTTTATATAAATTATATATATTTTTTCTGTCACTTGTATATGTAAATATATTGTAAACATAAAAATATATATGCACAAAAAATAAAATACATAAAATATATATATATATATATATATATATATATATTTGTATATATTATTTATATTGTATGTTATATATTTCCTTTATTTTTATTCTCTATCATAAATAATAATTCTCTCGTAATGGAGAAATAAAATTTAAAGCGCGAACTACCTGGTGGTCCATTTGTCTGATAATTATCCTCTTGCATAGGTGATGACACTTGTTTGGGGCTGGCGTCCGAATGCGTCCAATCCTCCGTCGTACCGTCCATCTTCATATAAGGTCCCTCCGCTTCCTCAACCGGCTTCAGAGTCGTAATTACAGGTTTATGGGCAAAAGCTAACGATGATATATGCATGTGGCTATGATTGTGGTTGGCAGTGATTGTATTATTATTGTTATTTCGATTGATCTGTAAGAAAAAGATCGTCTTCGTGTCATTTAACACATTTGTATAACAATAATTTTCGGTGCATAATATCAGAGAATACACAATCATACCTTATTTATGCCACTCATATCAACATATGGGGCAGTGGTCGATACAGGAGCTTGTCCGGGTGACATGTCGACGTAGGAACTAGTGTCAGTGGCAGTAGAGTACGATTGCGACTGAGGCTGAGACGACGGCGGCGAGGAGAGAGCGGTCGGAATACTGGGTCTCGTAAAATCCAATTCCATGAGATCCTCCATTCGGTCGGACGCGCCGGAGCAGCCCGAATTGTGGCCCCAGGAACTCGACAACAACGGCGCGGAGCTCGATTTCGAGTTCGAGCTGTCCGAACCGGCTGGTAATGGCGCGGTGATTATATTCGCCAGTCTCCCAATCTCGGGCCTCTTCGAACGACTGCCCACAGAAAACGCTCGCACTCTATTGGAGTCTTGAGGAGTGATGTCCAACCTGTATACGAAGCATAAAGTTAGATTTATAGCTAGTATTCGAAATTTACTTCTTAAAAAATTGAGCTTGACAAGTCTGCCTTTAGTTAAACACTCCGAAATCGCATATAAACTTTCCAAAATGTACGATATTTCGTCTTCTACAGTAGAACTATTTTATGTCTGAGTACCTGGTTGTGTACAGGATCCCATTTTAATCGATTTTTTCCAAAACTTTTTTCTAAAAAGTGTATGGTCCGCTGTTTCACTCTTTACTAATATAAAAAATATTCTATTTAATATAAAAAAGTTTCAATAATTAATTGTATTATTAAATATCAATGAAATAAATTTATGTTAATACATAACAATAATTCCATGAATTAAAATTATGTCGTGACATATCTCGACATTAATTTTAATTCATCGAATTTTTAATAATAATAATTCAATGAACTAAAATTCATGAATTAAAAAGTCAGTAATACCATCTTCTGTCCCTCTTCAAATCAAACAACTTTTGTTTAAAACATTTTGTAGTTTATACAATCAAAAATTAAAAAAAAAATTGTTGGAGTGATCGATTAAAATAGAACAAACTATGTATTATAAATACATAAATCTTTAAAAAAAGGACTCGTGCCTGTTTTTCCGATGCCTATTTGCTTGTTCCGGTCTGGATCCGACGGAATAAGCTCTGGTCGGTCTGGCTTGCAGATCTTCCCCAGGTGTGAGGAAGCTGGTCACTTTGTCCAGATGATATTCGGAAAAGCGCAAGTCGGTGCTAGGCGTGCCGGACGTGACGGAACAGCTGCTACCATCGTTTTGCGACATGTCGTCCGGAAAGTGACCGTTGTGACTATTTACAGGATCCATGTCGACGTAACCGTCGTCGCCGACCGGCGCCATCGGCACGTAACCGTCCACGTTGCTCTCCTCCACGAGGGATGATCCGCGGGAATGAGAGTGGGCCGTCGTTGCCGGACTCATCGGCATGTAAGCACCGCCGCGGCCAGGACTCGAACCGCAGGGACTGTACATTTCACTCTGGTAGGAACTCTGCGACCAAAACGACAAGTTAGAATATAAAGATATAAAATTTTCAATAAAAAAATTACATAAAATTTTAATAAAACTTAAATATTGCCAAGATATGCTTCTTAGACATGTTTCTTAAATTCTAAATAAAAATTAACAATTAACAAATTAATAAAAGAACAATTTTTTTAAAAATTCCCCGAATCTAAATCAAATTCCCTGATTCTTGAAGATTGAACGGAATACCAGGATTTTCAAGGTTTTTCCCTGGAAATATATCCTTTACACAACTTCATAAAAATTCCTGGATTTTTCAAGGTAAAAAATAAATCCCCTGATAATTCTCAATTTTTTCCAGGATGTAGACATCTTCTGTCAGAAGACAAACTGACAAGCGCTCACCTGAGAGGGTGAATGGGACTTAAAGTTTGGCGAGTATTTCACATGCGGATGCGAGGTCGACCAGAGGGCATATTCGTCGCCCTTCTTGTCCAGGATCACGGGCTCGTCCGGGGTTAACGAGTGGCCATACCGCGAGACCCCGGTGCTCTCCTCCATGATGCTCTCGCCGCAGTCGTCCATCGAGGGCGACGATCCGGCCGAGTCCGACGAGCAGACGTCGGAGGCCGGGCTGATGGGCATCGAGGTGACCGGTGGAGAGTACGAGAGGTTCCGCCCGCACATGGAATGCGGTCGCGGCACGTGAGAAATGATATGAGTCCCGCCGCTCCTGGGATAGGGGTTTACCACCGTCACCGTCGTAGTCGCGGGCTGTCCCTCGCTGATGGTGTGGGCCCTCGACGGCAGACTGTCGCATCGATCTCGCACGGTAGCACCTGGAAATTTTACTCATCAGTATCTTTCTTAAATGACTGACTGATTTTTGTAGAGAAAAAAATAAAGAAGCCAAGTTCCATCGCCCCAGCACAGCGCAACGGTGGTTAGTTTCTCATACATCCGCATGTATAAATTATTATCACATGACATGTGTATCGAAAGACTGTGTTTGTTATTATAAGTACATAATATACAGACCTCTAGAAAGAGAATCAAGCAATCGGGAATAGGTGATCACGATAATAAGTGATCATCTCGTGAAATATCCCGTAACACTGTTATACATATACGTAGAAAATAAAAGATGGAGAAGCAGACTAGAAAAAGATTTCTTTTTGTAGTAATCAGATTTTCCATACCGCAATCGTTTCCCAAAGTATCAACGTATACCAAAAATGTATATATCATTCTTGTGTCAAAATTCTGAGGTGAATGAACCGACAGAGAAGATACAAACCAAAGCATCATAAATATATATATATTCATGCATTTAATAACATGCTAGCACAACAAAAAAACTGTTCAGTCTCGTAAATATTTGCTCTGCGAGTTTTTTTTTCCAATCATTTATCAAACTTAACATCGACCTCGCTTGGGTTTTAACACACCTTGAAAAAAATATGCGAGGGAGTGGAAGAAGAGAAACGGAAAGAGCGTAACAAGCAGTAATTACAGTAGGAACATCGAGGAGAATTCATCATTTCAAAACAGACTCGGTTCCATTATAAATCTATATATAAAGAAATAATGAAACGAAACGAAATACATACACCGTAAAACGGATCTTTTAGACGGTTGCGTTTGACCGATAATAACTGCGGCTAGGGGCAGCGACAGGGTTCTCTGATGGGATATTGTCGCGGTCGTGGTGATCGTCGCGGTGGTGATGGTGGTGGTGGTGGTGGTGGTGGTGGTGGTGATGGTGGTGGTGGTGATGGTGGTGATAGTGGTGGTGGTCGCGGTGGTGATGGCGGTGGTAGTGACAGTGGGCGCGTTTGTCGTTGCTGCAGTTGTTGTTGTGACATGAGCGGATTGGGAATTATTGACGGAATGAGGATGACTCGCTACCGAATGACGACGTCTAGCGGTACCACTGTTGGCATTAGTCGTCGTCGCGTTCCCAGTAGTCCAAGCCCCGGTACCGGCAACGGCTGCAAACCACACACCTCTCACTATTGCACAACTCTGTCTGTCTGTTTTTATACAGGGTGTCTCATTTTAATCGGATCGTCTCCAAAAACTTTATTTTTTTTTATTATACAGTAAGATGGTTCACAAATAAAAGTTGTTTGATTTAATGCAGGATAGATTTGATGATGCTACTGACTTCTTTCCGAAGGACGTTCTTCAATGTCATTTAAATGGATCCATATTTTTGTAATATAAATTTTTATGCTGAAACTTACGAGGAATCAATTTATATTACAAAATATGATTTCAAGAACATATAAATGACCTATAAATAACTTTCAAAAAAAAGGTAGCACCATCTTCTGCCTCCATTTAAATCAAACAACTTTTGCTTGCAACATTTTATGTACAATTAAAAATAAAAGTTTTTGAGGGTGATCGATTAAAATGGAGCACCCTATATCTTTTTTAGTTGACACAGATACGACACAGATATACATTAATAATCGTATCTGCTGTTAAACCGCTATCAATCTTTTCTGATTTTTTTTTTTTTTTAATAAAATAAAACCTATTTCCTTTCAGTTCATCCCCATTAAACCTTTCTGTCGATAAACGGAGACCTGAGTACCCGTACATTGACGGAAAGGCGAGAAATTATGGCATTGACAGAAGGGTTAATTGCAATAAAACACGTGTCGACAACGTGAAAATGATGATAAAGCGCGTATTAATTGAGTTTCCCATTTTTCTTTCTCTTTCTATTATTTTATATATATTATTTATATATCCCTGACACATCAGATAATTTACAAATTCCAGATAACTCACTGACTGAATTAGTCATGCTATTTACATCACGAAGCTAACATTCAGAAAACGATGTATTAATTATCTCGACTCACTTTCCCTATTAACGTAATTAATCATTGCATTCGTGTCAAAATTTATATAAAATTAATATAATTTAATATAATATAAAAGTCTATCTACATCATAAACATTGATATATTTAATTAATTGTAAAATTCTGACATTACTCTAACAAAATATCTTAATTTTTTTTACAAAATACAAAACTAAAATATATAATATATTTTGTTTACTGTTTCATCATGTAACAATTGTAATCTCACAACGATTTCAATTAATTTTATGTACATATGTATAATTGCATACACATGCAACTGTATGTACAATATAGATGCAAAAATTCTAGTTGTTTCAAAACTATATAAAGTGAGAAATGCAATGATCTGATATGTTTCAATGAAATGAAATAAAAAGAATCTGAAGAAAAATATAAACGACACGTTCACACTGTTCTGATGTATCCTTTTTTTTGCCATTCAAAAATCCATAGAACGCGAAAGGAGGAAAGCAGATAGCTAACTATGACAGAGAACAGACCCATGACTGTATTGGTGGAGGAGATATTCCGAGATTGACTACACAGTGTGGGAGCATAGGAAGTGATGGTCTGCTCTTGCAACGGTTCCACTTGCTCCTTGTGTGTCTTCTGTTCCTCTGTAAACCCCGTAAACCCACTTGTGTTACTCTAAAGCCGAGCTCCTTGTATACACAACGATGAGATTCGCTTGATTCTTTATACAATTTAACATGTATACATTTACAGCGATAACTATATGCGTATCAAATTTTCAACTTTGAATCTCTTCACAAAAATGTATTTTTAGAGATACGCAAATAACTTGCCCATTGAAACAAACTAAAAGACTGTATCTCTTTGATGAAGAGATCTTCACTTTCAGGGAAATATCTCTTCTAACTTATAGATGGGCATATATAACTGACCAATGCGAAAAAGTCACATTACGATATACATATACAAAAGTAAGTAGTACGAAACATTTTGTAATGACCCACATCCTGGTGTAAATCACAATTTGATAAACGTACAAGATATGTACAATAAAAAAACTGAACTTGTACGAAAATTACGCAGCTTACCTAGAGGCGAAAAGCTATGAACGATTTTCTGACCCGTATGCCGTCTTTGGAGAACAACGGATATAGGTTTGCTAGCCTCATTGGCGGAGGAACTACGTCTCCTCTGAGATCCCTCGTCCTTGTTACTCTTGGAATTCTTCATCGCGCTCGTTATCACGTCGTACATGTTCAACGCTATATTGTTATCCTCGACTGCCATCCAGAATTCACCGTCCCCAGTTACAGCAAATCGGCCGACCTCTATGTAGAATATATCATCCGCGAATCCACATCGTCTTATATAATTTAGCTGTAAGGATAAAAGAAAAAATTAGTTTTCAATTCAGCAGTTAGTTCCAAGACATGAAGCATCAACATTCAACTTGCGAAGAGCAAAAGTATCAAGAGACACTGCTTTTGATAATGATGTAGCTTTTTATATTAGTGAATCTGACCTTTCTGCGATACTTATTGTTACAGTGTGAAAATAAAAATGTACTAGTTTATAATAACTTTAATATACTCCTCCATCATCATTTAATATTATACAACTTACAGAAATCTCAATAGAGTCAGAGTTGTCCTGTGCCCCAATCTTCACTAAACTTAAAGTTTGATCGGTGAGGCATAATCTGTAGGGTCCATGAATGTTCTTCCTTGCCCCTAGACCTTTCCTCTGCATCGTAACTTGCCATACGTGTTCTGCCACAAACAATAAAGAAATGCAGTCAATCCTGTTTTAATCTTACGTTATAAAATAATTTACATGTAGACTTGACATTTTATCGACTCCTTTATGTTAATAAATAAATATATATGTAATATGTCTGTAAAACTTTAATGTTATCTGACAAGCTATCATCATATGAGGAAAAACTGAATTACACAGAAAATAAATTACTAATATTTTTAACAAGAGATTAATATTTTTATTTTGCTACTGACTCTTTGTTTTCCTTTAATTTATTATTATCTAACGTAATTTTTTATATATCTGTTATAATATATATAAGCTTCACAAAAATCTATAAAATAATTCAAATTTAATTTACATTTATAATGACTAAAAAAGTATAATATTTTATGCTAAAATGACACAAAGTTCCATAGCAGTAATATTGTGCAACATAAAACAAATTTCATATAAAATCAATATCACTCCTTTTTCTTTGTCCTAGCTAAGAACACAAACAATTGCCAGTTTTATTTTTGTTCCAAGGTTGTATTATTCGTTGAAAATGTGAAAGTCACAGAGAAAGCAATGAAGTGTTTCTTTATTGTACTCCTTGATGCGTCTTATCTCTCTCCTCTCTCCGTTTTTTATACTAATTTAGATTTCTTACGAAAGCTTACACAAAATTATTGTCTATAGTGTCAACACAATGTATACATAAACAAAACATGGATTCTTCCCTCTAGAGAAGTCCTAATTGAAAAAGAAACTCGTATTTTTTTTAGCATGACGTGTCGGAAAAATGAAATAGAGAGATAAAAGATAAAATTCAGGGAAAAGAGAAAAACGAATTCCAGAGTTGTCGATTCGCTCTCTACGTTGGACGTAAACAAACGCGCACGTGCGACTGACGCGGATTCTCTTGTCCACTGTTAGGTCCCTGCACCGGTCAATATAAGTGCGCAATAATCTCTCGTCACGGCTAAAAATTGATTGTCAATCGCGGAAAACGAGAAAACCAGACTCGTATTTTTCCCAGACGTTCATATGCAAACGCACTTTTAAAAATCTGTATTATCATGTAGAGTAAAAATTATTTATAAAATAATGTAAAGTAAATCAAATTTAATTTACAATTTGTTTATGACAAGAAAACTATAATAATTGAAATAATTTATGTATTATTATGAAAAAAGATTTGTATTTTTCTCAGACATATATATATAATTTCCATGTAAAAATCTGTATAATTATGTAAATATTTTACAAAAATATTTATAAAATGGTATTTAGTTTAATTTATACTTGTACAAAAAACTATAATAAAAATAATTTGTGTATTATAAAATAGATTCATGCATTTCGTATTTTTTTCTCAGAATACGTATAACGCATTTATATAAATAAAAAAATTGTACTATTACAATAAATATTTCCCCCAAAAATATCCATAAAATAATATAAAATAAACAAAAATAATCAAAATGATTAATGTATTATTATACTATTGCGCATTGTTGCGCATACTAACATTCTACGCATTTATACATTTATCTAATATACACATTTATCTAAAAAAAACGCACCCTCGATGACATAAATATTTTCTAGAAATAGAATTTTCTAAAAAATGTTTTTAGTTAAAAACGCATCTATGGATAATAATTTATCGTGAGACATAATTTATTTCCAAAAATCAGGTGTGAAAAAAGCCTTTTCAATTTATTATTACAATTAAAATCAAAATAATGTATTATGTTTTATTATGTATAGTAAATATTTTTCAAAAAAAATATAACATAATTCGAATTTAATTTATACTTGTAGGAAAAATATAATAATAATCAAAATAATTCATTTATATTAATATGAAAATGAATTCGCATTTTTCTCAGACATATGAATGCATTTATAAATATGTAAAAAATCAGTATTATAATATATAATAAAATAAAATATTTCCCCAAAAATATTTATAAAATAATTCGAGTTTAATTTACAATCACTTAAGAGAACTATAATTTAATCAAAATAATTCAATTATAATAATTAAAATAAATTCACCCTCGATTTTTTCAATTTATTACTATGAAAATAAATATAATAAACATAAATTATTATAATAATAGTATATTGTGTATCAAGTGCGGAAAGTTGACAATTGGTCACGAGTGCGGGGGATGGACCATCCCACACGAGTGAACAACAATTGTCAATCCGCACGTGATACACATACTATTTTGTATTACAAGTGCAGGCAAAGTGCACTTTCCAGCGGCGGCGTGGGAAATTGGCCACTTTCCGCACAGAAAACACGCACACAAAGTGCCACTTTGCCTGCACGTGTAATACAAAATAAATTACCTTTCCCAGACATACGTAACACAAAAAATATCTAAAATAATTCGAGTTTAATTGACATTCATATGTGGAAAAAAAAAAAAAAAAAAAAAACTAATAACGATGAAACAAAAAAATAAAAATAAATTACCGAATGTAGGCCGCGGCTGTTCCCCATCGGGCACGTCTCCGCTCTGCAGCCTGAGCATCGCCTTGAGCCACTCGTCCAGCTCCTTCTCGTTGTCGAGGATCAAACAGAAGCACTCGTCCTTGGTATACAGAGCGATCACGTGCTTGTGCTTGGTGTCGCCGCGCTTGTTGATGTTGAAGCAGCTGTGCAGCAATATACTGCGCTTCGGGGGCTGCCTGTTGTCGAACTTCTTCTTGCTGTCGTAGTACTCGAGGCAGGCGAGGCAGCCGGGGGCCTCGCCCCTCAGAACGAAGTACTTCTTCTTCATCGTCTTCAGCTTCTTCAGGTGGCCGCAGCGGACGACGGGGCCCCCGGACCCCGGGGGCGACGCCGGGCCCCCCCTGGCCCCCGACGACATGGTCGACGACGGCAGGACGCCGACGACGTCGGTCACGAAGGGATCTCTCTCGAGGACGAAGCGGGCCCTTCGTATCCGTATCATTCACACGGCATCGCTCCCCACTCTCTCTCCCTCGTGCATGCGACTGCGAGAGTGTAATCGGCTCCCTTCAACTTCCTCCAGGAGCGAGCCTCGAGAACGAGAGAGAGAGAGGGAAAAACACGCGAGAGATGTCAGAGTAGGATCTCGCGAAAATTCATTCTTACAAGAGATGCGGAAATTCGCGCCAAAAAGTTCACCGACTGTCTTCTCAGGTCGACGACGCGTCACCGTATCGATGACACTTTCCACGACGACAACAACAACGACCTGTCAGCGACCTGTCAAACACCAGAATCTGGAAAGGGGGCGTTTTCTAGGACGCAGGCTGCTCCTCTTCTTCTCGTCGCATCAGGAGACTTCGGACGAAGCCGACGACGAAGGGAGCCACGTTTCGAGGAGACGTAAATAAGGTAAACGCGCACAAGCACCCAGCGTAGCTGCACCACCGCACCGGTGCATGTGCACTTTCGCGCACTCCTCCTCGCCGAGGGCGTCCTCCTCTTCCTCTCTCTCTTCCCTTCGGCGGACGTCCACCTCCTCGCCACGTTCTACGGATGAGAGTATACTAGGTTAGGAGTGAAACGATAACAATAACAATAAGGGGGGAGGGGAGGCACGCGAGGGGGCAACAACACAAAAACACACACGCTCGCGATCCTCTTCCCGCTTGAAGCTTCTCTTCCTTGCTTTTTTTTTTCTCGCTTCCTTCCTTCCTTCGGTGCGAGACGTTGTCGGAGAAACCAAGTAGGGGAGATCCCGCGATCAGCGCCGAACGCGCCCGATGACTCCGAGATGTCGCGACTCTCTCTCTCTCTCTCTCTCTACCCAGTAAGCAAAAAATCATTGCTACAACGTTATTTTTGTTGGCAAGTCTGTAGTTTTTAACATTGTGTGCAACGTCATTACGAACAAACTTTGATCATCGGTTTATTTAGAGGTTTCGGTTCAAATGTTAATGTTTTTAAAATATTGTATTAACATTTTGAGCAATATATGTTATTAAATAATTTTTTTGAAATAACGTTTATAAAACATGGGTTAAAATCTTTTTTTTTTAGAATATTTATTCATAATATTTTAAACATATATTTGTATAAAAAAAAACATGTCGTAACGTTTAGAAAAAATTTATATAAAATCAACATTATAAAATGTCGATTAAATATTTCTCGCTTACTGGGTATCTCTCCCTCCTTTTCTATCCGTATGTGTCACTCTCCTTTTCTAATGTCCACGGCACGCCTCGAATCCACCTGTCACGCGCGGTTCCGTCTAATTTCGCCCGCCGAGACGAGCCGCCCCCCCCCCCCCCCCAACCCTTCGCGCCTCTGAAAAACAGGGGGGGGCGGGTCAAGAGAATGATAAATAAAATTCATAAATAATCCTAGAAAAATACCGCGAACGTGTCATTTCCACGCGGCATCTCTCGCGCCGCCGAATCCCGCCGGGGGACGAAGGGGGGCAGGGGGGGCGGGTCAAGAGAATGATAAATAAAATTCATAAATAATCCTAGAAAAATATCGCGAACGTGTCATTTCCACGCGGCATCTCTCGCGCCGCCGAATCCCGCCGGGGGACGAAGGGGGGCAGGGGGGGCCGGATGATAACAATAATAATAACGAAGGATAACCGCGAGTCGCTCGCAAACACCACGAGAGAGAGAGAGAGAGAGAGTACAAACCGGGAGGTTATCCCCCCACCCCCCTCAGCTTCTGCCCCCCCCCGCCCCCCTCTCCCGCACCTGTTTATCTCCCCGAATAACCGCGAGATTTACTGCGTGGTCCACGGACGGTGACGTGTATATACACAAGAGTGCGCGCGCGCGCGCAGACAGAGACAGAGGACGACGGATGGATGGATGGATGACCAGACAGACAGACAGACGAAGAAGAGCGCAATACGCGGGACAGACTGCCAGACGGAGGGGGGCGGGAGGGGGGGGCGAGGCGTGTTCCTCCCTGGACGTTTCGAGGAAAACGTGTTACGTTACGCGAGGAAGAAAATTAAGAGAGGAAAAAAAAAAAAAATAAATAAATTTGCCCCCCTGATTAAATTTGCGTGCCAAGGGCAACGCATTTCCTCTCTCTCTCTCTCTCGCTCTTTTTTTTTTCACGCGCAATAACAAGAGCCTCCCGAGACGTCAAAACAACCACGACGGCGGCATTCCAGGTCGATGCGGGGAAACGCGACGGCTCCCCCCCCCTCTTTCCGCCCCCCCCTTCCCCTCGCGAGCCTACGTCGTCGTCGTCGTCGCTATGTGACTGGCTCTTCCCGCAGCTGCCGCTGCTTCCGCTTTTCTTCTCGTCTCTCGGGGAAGAGGAAAACACATACACACTCACTCGCACACACACACACACACATAAAAACACACTCAGGGATTTGATTAACGACGCACTGCTTCCCCCTCCCCCCCCCTATCTGTCACATCCGTTTTCACTAGACGAGTAAAAAAAAAGCGACGTCAAACGTCAAAAAACTCGGCGCACTTTCCTTCCACGCGTTCTCCTTTTTTTTTTACTTACCAGGTATATATATATGTATGTATGTATGCGCGTATTATAAACGCACTACGTTTTCCCTTCCGGAGCGACGAGCGACCGCGTCGTCGTTGCCGTCGACGTCGTCGTCGTCGTCGTCAACATCGTCACCGTCATCGTCTCGTTCTCTCTCTCTCCGTCGTAAACGCAAATATATCTCGCGAAACCACGAAGAACGTGGCGGAGCAGCGAGTTATACAGAGAGAGCGTACTTCGGAGGAGAGGAAAGAGAAAAAAATAAAGGAGCGACGATCCCTCGCCGATAATGTGCACGCAGCTTCGGCGACACTTTTCTCACACTGTCTCTCTCTCTCTCTCTCTGTCTTTCACTTCTCTCCGCTTTTGCTTAACCGCGCGCGAGTTCACGCCTAGCCAGCCGAACGGACAGACGATCGTGGTCTATCTGTAAAGGTCATGTGTACGGCGAGCTCCGCAGTTGTAAACAAGACGTGCGCATGCGCGAGGGGCGCGCGCGCGCGCCTCCGCCGCGCATGCGCCAGCGCCGCCGGCGCAGTATATACAGGGTGATTCATTTCGATCGCCCGCCCTCACGGGAGTGTATTTCGAAAACTAGGAGAGATACGAGAAAATGTTTTGGACGAAAGTTTCTTCACTTCGAGAGAACGTAAGACGGCGGCATTGTTTGACCTTGTATAATCGTTCGAAGGTCGCGCCAAGGTCATCCCTCGATTTCTTTAACGGTGCCGCATATTTTTTATTACATATTCTTATAGCTTATCTCGAGAGCTTTCCGAAACACTGTAATAAAGTGTTTTTCTCTTGAATGGTTTTTGAGTTATGGGAATGTGAATTCGAGTGATATAACTCGAAAAGAGAAGTACTCGAGAGAAAAATACTTTTTATTGCGTAGTGTTTTGGAAAGCTATATATCGAGATAAGCTATAAGAATGTGCAATAAAAAAAATTGAAGAAATTAATAATGATACAAGGTCAAACCAGCAATCTAAAATAATTTGTCGTATTTTGTAGTTTTCGAAATATATTTGCCGAGCGGGTGATTAAAATGAATCACCCTATATATATCGCGCGCATGCGCACCCGCGCCGCGCTCATTTTGCAATGGCGTAACGTGTCTCGTGTCAACGGACGCCGCAATGCGGAAGGATCTACGGGATCTACGTAAACCTTTTCCCCCCTTTGACGCTATTCGGTGTTTATTATCGTCTTTACGTAATTCGAGCGAGAGACGAGATTATGACACGTCTCGTTCGCGCGCGTTTCTCCAGATAAGGTCGTAGACGGAGAAAAATCTCAGTAATAAAATATATGGACCACGTGACGTGGTTTTTTTTTTTTTTTCTTTTTCTCGTTTGTTGACGACACCCTATACATACAGGGTCGCGCGATCGCACCGAAATAAGGCGTCTCCGAATTCCGAGAGCGCGCAATGTTTACCAACGCTACTCCGGTCTACGTCTGGTAGTATATTAGCCCCTCCCCCTCCCTCCCCCTGCAGAGGAGAAGAGTTAGGGTATATACAAGGACGCGGCCAAAGTACGCGCGAGATGCTACAAATAACGAAGCGTGATCCGATTTCCTGTATAAGGTTTTTCTTATAGGGTTCTACTCGAAGAGATCGAATGATTCAATTCTATAGACCGACTATGGGATTTTTTACAGAGGGAATTATTTTTCATCTTATATTTATAAAATTATTATCTTAAAATATAGATTAAAAAATATATACATATAAATTTTTAAAAAATTCTTATATATATATATTTTTTGCTTATTGATATATGAAAATTCTATCAATTTTATAAAAATTCTCTTTACCTACAAATTAATTATAATAAACTAATTTACAAATAAAAACATTACGAGATTTCTTGTTTTTCACTTCTATTTCTTAAAAAAAAAATTGTATCAAGCTTTGGTCGACTTGAACTGCTTAATTGAATGTTTGATTGATGAATGTATAATAGCTAATCTCTTGCAATATTTACTGTTATAAATAAACTCTTGAATTATTAAATATGTGGAAAGGTCCACAATTTGAAATTTCAAGTTATTAAAGTTCTTTCTTCAATGAAATAAAAATTACATTTGATGCATTTTTTATGTAACATTTTTATACTAAAATATATTCAAGTTTTAATAAAGTTTTTTAAAAACGGCTAGGGAATAATCATGAAATTTTATATACAAATACTGAATGTAAACGAATTAAAAAATTGGAAATATCTTATATGAAAAAATAGGACGTTTCTTTTTTCCTTAAAAAAAAAATATCCTGTATGTTAAAAATATTAACATTTTTTCCACAATCTATTGTAACAATCGCATATATCTTTTACACTATGAAAATTTCTATTCCATTCATTCCTTCAACAAAGTAATCTAATCCACATGTTAAAAATACATGTTATACTTAAAAATAATTGTTTTCATCATTTCTATTCTATGCGTTTAAAATTAAATACGAAATGTTTTTATTTATAAAATTAAAAGTAGATAAAGTTTAAAAAAATAGAGATTGAAGAACTAAAACTAACTAAAAGATGCTATCTAGATTTTTTGTAGAGCAAGCTACTAAATAGAGCTAACATAGGAATAGTGAAAGGATTAGTTACGTAGAAAATATGAAAATAAAGCAAGATTCTCTTTTTTTAAAAATATAAAACTGTCGTGTTAATATTACATGACAGCATTCTACAGAAATATCAGTAGAACATGTTACATTTTTAAAAAATTAGTGTACATAAAGTATATATCTAAATATCAAATTATTCCTAGACCAATAAAAAAATCTAATACTTTATAAGAGATTATTTTTGATAAAATAATTTTTTTGTTATTATTGTGCACTGATAGAAGAGTTATTTTTAATCTCATTTAGAAAATAATATTTGGCACCTATTGAATATAAATCTGCAAAAAGTTTTTCATATCTATACAGGATGTCCGGTGAGTCGCGTTTTCCATGTTAATGAGAGATTCCCGAAGTGATTTGGAGATTTTCCTCTGGGAAAATGTCGAGAAAGGTCATCATTTTTTTTGATGTTCCCAATTTTTGAGATTATGTATCTTTGTAACTAAGCCTTAAATTAAAATTTTATTAAAGTAAACTTTACCTGGAATTAACTAAAAAAGTTTTGTTAATAATTTATTCTTACAAGAATTTACAAAAAAGCTCTTATTTTTAATCGTTTATAACTCGAAAATTATTGGTGCCTGGACATTTTCACTCCAGTTACCAGACACCCCGTATATAAAAATATGATAGATTCTCAAACTTTTTGCATGCTTAAAAATATATGTATATTTAGCTCTAAAAATAATTTTGGAAATTACATTAAACGCATAATTTACTAAAATATAAAACAATAATGGCAGCAATATTAACAATAATATTGTTAATAATTTATGAGATCATAAATTTTTTTTAAATCTCTAAGCATTAAAAAAGAAAAAAATTAAATCAATTAAACTCTTTAAGTACATATATAGGCCATTATTTATTTTTCTTTATTTTAATACTAATAATGTTTAAAAAATAATTTTGAAAAATTGTAAAGTTAACAAGAGTGTATGAAAATAAGTAGAAAATAAAAAAAATTGAGCGAGTATTGTTACCATACATTTCACTTGATTATCTTAACTGATCATCTGACTTTAACTTAAAAGTTAAAAAAGATGAAATACTTCCACAAGCATTGTGGTCAGTAACGTTGAAACGTGTCGTGTATAAGTATGAAGCAACAAAAACATGTATAAATATTTTCTAATCTATAAAATACTTTTCAATTGTATTTTAGTCTCTTTGTATATAAAAAATAAAGAACAAAAGTCACAAATTCGGACTGTACAGCTATATATGAGATTGCTAAATGTTATTTGAGATAGCAAAGTTTGCATTGGGTTTGCATTATTCAACCCGAGTGCTAAATATAAAAGTTACTTTCCGGGTTAATGCAAATGCAAATCTCATCATGTACACTAGTACTAGTCTACTCTTAGTTGACTACGCATTAAAAAAAATAAAATAACTACGAAGAGATGTATGTACCAAGTGCATGTTTATAAATTTACTTGGTAATAGTCTCCTATATTCTCGTTACATAATTTTTGGTAACTATTTTACTTTGGATCGCAATGTTTGAAAGTGTCATTCACAATCCGGTGATCGACAGACTTTTGTAGAGGAACATAATCAAATAATTAGCATCATCTATCACTCTCCTAAATATTCACCTGTATATATATACATATATGTATGTATGTATATATATATATATATATATATATATATATATATATATATATATATATATGTGTGTGTGTGTGTATTTGTACTAGATTTAAGAAGGAACATAAAAGAGGAAAAACGCGTGTGGATGAAGAAATAAAAACAAATTGCACGTAGGCGAGAAAAAGTTACAGATAGAATAAGCGGTTCGAGAGATCACGGTGTGGTTCGGCTTGAATATTTTGACCGACCAGGTACACGAGCTTATGAGCGTATTGACAGGGAGCCGGTACGCGAATCGTACCGGGCCAATTGTAATACAAATGACAGAGTTTGTACGTGAGTCGTTGCATGTGGTCGACCTCCATGTTGGTCGTATCGTGTAAAATAATATAGTGAGTGGGTGTCACCGTACCCTGTCGCACACTCTGCGGCACGAGGAAGAAATCGCAATAATTTCGTCTTGTTATGAAAGAGTCAACAACAGTGCCAGCAGCGGGGTTCTCCAAGTTTCGATTGCCTCTCTGAAAAAATTAAGAATGTCAACTTGTCCGAATAAGTGTCCAATTTCAATCATTAAGGCTCCTGACTCCTCAGCAATCATGTTGGAATTGTAACGTCAGAGGCGAGAAAAATATACGTGAAAAATTCTTAAATGCAAATTCGAAATAAAAAGATATTTCGATAAAACAGCACTTTAGATGACTTTAGCACGCTCTTAAAATATCTCGAAAACTTTTCTTTTCCCTTTATAATCAATCAACAGCTGTAAAATTACTGTAATATGAGGCTCAGTTCGTCTAGTCTTTGCAAATGCGCATTCATTTCGCATGACAAAGTCCAATACGATCCACGAGTCCATCACGATCATTTTATAGTTGTTGATTCACTATCAAGGGAAAGGAATAGTTTTCGAAGTATTTTAAAAGCGTGCTAAGCCATCTGAAATAATGTTTCATTGAAATCTTTTCACTTAAAAATATCATCTAAAAATTTTCGACATGTGCTTTTCTCGCCTCTGACGTCACACAATCTAACATGATCGCGGTAAGGATGCAGGAACCTTAATACACAATACGTGTTTTGTAATGGTATAACCAGCAATCGGCAAAAAATTAAAAATAAATTAATATCACTTGATTAATTATTTATAAGAAAAAATATTGATTATTTGATTAATCAGTAATCAACGGAAGTTATTTGATTACTCGATTAATTAGTAATCAAAGTCCAAAATTATATCGAAAGTATTGATTAATCAAGTAATCAAATAACTTACGACTTTGATTACTGGTTAATGTTATTGTTAATCAAAGCTGAAAATATTACTAAAAATAATCGATGATGCCGATCCCTGGGTATAAGAAATAACTTATCAACATAATACTCACGTCTCTGATGAATAGTCGTGTATTGATACGTTTCTGAACAATTACTACACTGAGTTGCGGTTTGTAATTCGGCGCGATGCGGTTGAAAGTCATCATCAATTGCTTCACTTCGTATTTTTCTACGTAATCCAGATCACCGTCGCCGACTCCATCACGATATATAATTATACGATCTGGATTACAGTTATTATGCTAAACAGCGTAACATAATATTCATCATTTTAACGAATCATTGATAAAAAAGGACACTTCGAAGTTACATAATTAACATCGATTACCTTATGATAAGCAGCGATAGCCGAGGCAAGGCACACCTGGAGCATATCCACCAACTCTTGTTTCGAAGCCTGCATACAGACTCTACTGTGCCATGTGGTTAATTGAGAATCCAAACTCGCGACAAATCCTGCAACACTCTTCTTTGCACCTCCTCCTACGCCAGCGTGATAGACGTCTATACCACACACCATACAATGTTTCTGTTTCGCAATAGTTTTAAGATATTTATCATCAAACGACAAGAAAAACAGACGTGTGAATAAAAGTATATATAAGGAACAAGTTTCTTTTTATTCTATGTACCATCGGCAGATGTAAGGTCCAAAGTGCACCTCCCAATTTGCAATTCATTTGCAGCGCAATCTTTTCTGTGACACTTTTCAATTTGTTAGGTTTGTTGATAGTTTTCGATATGATAACTTGAGACGGTATGGCTTGTTGCACGCAACATAATCTATAAATATAACAGACAAGTAAAATATACTTTTTCACTTTTAATGTTTTCAGTCATTGTTGCACAAACAATTGAAATTTTAGCATGCTTTAAAACGCTTTCTTTACACTACAGGTATAATTAATTCTTGCACAATAATTAAACTTTATATATATATATCAGCATAAAAATACAATAAATTAAAAGTAAAAAAAAATTACTTACTTTTTGACAGCAGAGTATCTATCAGTGCGATTGGTTGAAAAAACAATAACCACTAATTGGATAGAATTGTTGAGGCTTTTGTTAATTTCTCGCAGATAACTCTCGGTTCTTTGATCATTAATCTTCGCCAATCGCGGATGTGCGATGTGCATATGAACCGCTCCCGCAACTTTTTTCAGTGTCTCTATGAAATCGTTTACACAAATCTCGTCCCTTGTGAAATATATAATATCCCACTTGGTCAAATTGGGCTGAAACACAATATGTTTGTGCGGTCCTATAAAATCGTTTACTAGATACTCGTAATTTTTCAATTGCTCGATTTTTTTTCAATATGTAAATGTCATAGAAATATATGAATATATTTATATAATATTTAAATAATATAAAATTTTATATATATTTTTATATTTTTTATATATAACTATTTATATATATTATATTCATAATATGTAATATATAATATATATTATACATATGATATATAATATAAAATAAATATAATTAATTGATAATATAAAATAATTTATATAATAATTTATTATGCCTTAATGATAAGTATATACTTACGGTACGTAACACGGGATTTTTCACTGCAGGGGTACCCCAATCTCCGGGCTTTTCGGATGTCAGTTGATACGTCTGGTTTTTTCCAAAGTATATCTTTTCAGGATCGAGAAGTCTCGCACTAAATTCAGCAATGTCATTGTTTAAGCTCAGACCCCATTCCGCCAACAATTCCCGGGTAACTTGAGTTTTCTCTACCTCCTCTATAAATCGTTTAATCACACTCCTACGATGATTAGGCGATGATTTCGTGATTGTGCTCAAATCTTTCATTATATGGTGGTTGCAGCGGATACTATCTGTGAGACCCGCGGCATAGCTCAATTCCGGCACCAGGAGAATCGTTTTTTCTTGCTTCTATCGTGTTCAGTTTTTTTTTCCATTTAATTGTATTGGCAATGGCAAATTTTAAGTGACATATCAACAGTGAAGAAACATGCAGAACTGAAAATACATAGTGACAAACCTCGCCAGTGTGTGTTCTAAATGTAGAACGATGCACTAAAAGCGGTTGGTCCAAGTCCATGATTTCTATACTCCAATGTTTTTTGTAATATTCGATCAAAGATATCTCCTCCCCGTCACCTCTGGAGAATACGTATCTTGGATTTTTATCCCAATCAATATCATCTATACGATATGTCTTATTATTGTATCGCGTTAATACGCTTGTACCAATAACCTCGTTTACTACCATATCTCTGGCGTTGCGGTCATTTTTATTAAAAATATCAGTTCTGCAAAAAAAATCGCATAGAATGAATTTAATCAATTATTACATTTTTTTATCATAAATTCTTTGAATCTCAATAAAAAAAATTGTTTTCCAGTTTCATACACTACAACATTTTGCCTACAAAACTACGTTATTTTCACATTTTTTTAACGTTTTTTTAAAATCGAGTTATAAAATTTTGTAACTTAATCTGTATTTTTCAGAACAAAGGAAATAAAAAAATTTTGTAAAATCACCGACAGCGCGTTAAGTTAACACTTCAAGCATCAAAATACGTTTTTAATTTTTTGTCTACGATGATTTTTCGCAGTGTCGACATCATTTTGAAAAAATATAGGTTCAGTTTCAAAATCAATAAATATTGATTAAAAAAATCATAAGAAAATTTAAAATAATGTTTTATAGGCAAAGTTGTGTAGTTTATGGAACATGAAAAGGATTTTTCAAGAAAAATTATTTTATCAAGTTACGTAATTTTAAGAAACAAAACTTTTTTAGCACAAAACAAAGTTAAAATTTTTGAATATATATATATATATATATATATATATATATATATAATTTAACTTGATTAAACAAAAATAATTAAATGAGACTCACATTATATCGCGCACAGTTTCCGTCCGCATTACTCGATGCTTAGAATCCAAACACAGCTTTAAACCACCATCGTATTCGTTTATGGCAGTTACATAACCAGGCCACACTTCCAATCGATGTTGATTCAGTTTTTGCGCACTATTCGGATTGAAATTTTGCCGTCCAATCCGAACTAAACTAAGTTGACGCATGATACGATTGAACAAAATGTTAAAAAAATGTACATTTTCACTCATTGATTCCTCCTTTTTAAAACTTATTGTGATAGTTATTCGCGATCCATCCATTGGATGTTCCGAATAAAAGGTTGTGACCTGAAAGTTTGACAATTATGCTTAAAACATACAACACATAGATATTATATATACATTATCTTTAATTATAAAGTTTTTAAACTCACGTTTTGTGGCAGTTTTATTGGTAAACTGAGTGTCATCCCATTAAATGTTCTTGTTCGTCCTATTACAGTAGTATGTTGAGCCAGTAATTTACGGCGTAATCCTATCGAATCTATCTCTGGATTATATTTTACATCATAGGTGAACAGACCTTTTCCAGACTCTATTTTCAGGTCTATATAATTGGCAAGTATTTCTATTCTAGAAGGACAGATAATTTTATATTAAATATAATATTCACAAATATATATTAAATAATTATTAGTAGAAATAATAATTGTTAAATAATTATTAAAAATAATATTAAATTATAACATATTCACATTCATCAATGTACATACCAGCTTTTTAATATAATTTTAATCTTTATGATTAAAAATTAAATAAACATTCCAAATAAGAATCATTCTTGAAATTTGACTATTTAATGTAACTGATATTAATTGACATAAATTTGTTTTAAAAAGTTATTATGTATGTTATGAGTATATGTGTGTATTCTTTTAAAATAAAAATCACAAATTACCTTGCCCCACTTTTTCCTTGTCGACATTTTACCGGAATGTTTTCAGAAGGCACGTCGGTTGTGAACGGATTGTCATATACAGAAATATCAGACAATTTTTCTAAAATTCTTGCAGAATATTCTCTTGAAGTAGATGTTCGTGCAACTGGTTGAGCAAACCTAAAAAAAAAGCATAATGTTATTTTAGCTGTAAATTTGCATTTAAAAATGTAATATCTAGATAATATAATATATAATATAATTCATCACACTCACTCTGGTTTTTCTCTCAATCCTAGGAAAGTGCCTCGTCCTGCTACTTGGGGTTGCATAGGGCCTTTGGAATCTGAATCGCTACTGCTTATATTCATTGATCTTAACAAACTAGTTAATTGACCACGTCCACGACCTGCACCTGCACCTGCACTTGCACTTGCACTAGCACTAGCACTTGAAGTGAACGAGCTCTGAGGTGTCTCGAATGATCTGGTCGGTTCCATAGACGAATCACTAGGTGTTTCTAAGGAGTGATGTTTCTTTGACTCCTTCATCAGTTGTAATAAAAGACTGCCACGTCCTTTAGAACGGACTTGCTTCTTATCTTCTTCCATTTTTTGTATATCTTTTTCAATCTATAGAATAAATATACTATGTTTATTGAAAGAAATATCAAATAAAATTATTATTATATATACAGAAAGGGGAGTATTCTATTTTTCTTGTAACATTTAAATATACTATTTATTTAAAAATAACTAGAAGACCTTCGTATATAAAATTTTTACAAAAAATATAATTTTAATTTTTTTCACAATGAAATTTCTGTTTAGTCTAAACATTTACGCATGTTTTGCTGCAATTGTAAGTAAATAATTTTTCAAGCAAATCTGAATGAAATTTTGTACAAAATATCTTTAGAATTTCATTAAACGTACATGTAAAAAATTTTAAATTGCTAACAGTATTTTTTCTTTGTTATATTTGCTAATAAGTGTTGGAATGTAATTGTTCTTAATAATATACAAATTAATTAATTAAATTATTGATCAAAAAATTGCATAAGATTTTGGGCCAACATTTAGACAAAATAATAAAACAATCCATATAAATGTTACGATATAAAATGATCCAAGTAGCAAAATTAGTTCTTTTGACGTCGTTTTAACATCAAATTATATCGAAATGACTAATTTTGCTACCTGGACATCTCTAATTTTGATTATGTTCGAAAATCTACTCGTAATTCACACTTAAAATATAAAAGGAACTTATATGCTATATTATTATTACTATATACGTATATTTTCGAACGTAATAAAGGAATTCGTTAACAGGAACGTGTCGAAACGCGCATTTTCCTTTGTTCGGACAATTTTGCGCTTTACAAGGCCAAGAAGATCTAATATTTATTATTTACTTATATATTTATACTTTATAATTATAGCTTTATAGTTGAAGCTAATCTCTCGTTCAACTCAAAGAAGAAGATAATTATCCTTAATAATCTTGTCTAATCTTAAATAGAGAGATTCTTAAGTTAGGTTTATAGGTCAAATTAGTTTTTTTTTTGTTATACTACTATGATTTCGGTCAAAATAATAAAAAATACAAATTCTATATATAATTTTTATAATTGTCAACAGTAAAGAATCTGAAATTTAATCCCGTTAATTTTGATATTTTTACTTCCACGAAACTTACAGTTTCATGAAAAAGGGTGAGAGAAAGAAAGAAAAGTGAGATTAATTTTGGGGAGCGTTTTCTAACAAGTCGACACGGTTAAAACGCTATGTTTCTTTCTCTTCTTCGAATTGAGACGGTACAAAATGACTTGAAATTAAAATGCTTATGTCGTTTTTTGCGTTACACCATGAGAATATCAATTTTTTTTTACATTTGTGTGATACCATTTTTCTCTTCCTTGAACTTACAATTCTTCGAAAAAGCTATGTAGAACGACGTCTTTGCTCTCTGGCGGTGAAGTAAAAAAAATAAGCAATGTTCCAGGTACAACCTCACCCTCCTTTAAAAGAGATCAAAATTAACAAAAATTAATCAAATTATTAGATTTAAAAACCGTCAGAAATACAGGATGTTCTTTAGTAATCTCACGACCTCTCATGTGAAGATGGAGTGGGTCTAATCTGGCTGATTTTTTAAAATTAATTTCTCATTAATTATTGGGGAAATAAAATGATAAATGCTTCTACTTTGATACTAAAGCTACTGTTAATATTTGGCTTTTAATTCACTAACTCATTTAAAAGTTATTGCTATTTAAATTTCTGCTAGTTTTACATATAATCTTATGAAAATTCGTTACTCTGATTGATTATATTACGTTAAAAATATCGAAAAAATAGTACTATGTATTTTAAATTTTTTACATGTATAACTAGAACTTTGAAGAACAATGTTGCAAAATTACACATTCATACATAGCGATTTTCTATAAGATGAGATACATCCTTAACTTGCTTTACTTGCACTCGAGAGATCGTGTGATTATTACCAGATACCCTATAAAATAAATCTATAACAATAAAATATATTTTATCTCGAAACGTACACAATTTCTATGTTTCTAAATAAGATTTTTAATTTTTCTCAAATTTTGAACAAATTAAAAAAAAGAAATTTAAATATTTGCAATCTGTACGTTATATTTTATGTACAGTAGTATAAACATAATCTAGCTGGATGATTAACATTCAATTCATAGAATGAACGAAGTTAATTATGAAGCTGATGACGAAGTTGACTAAAAAAATGTTAAATAGAATTATCTTCAAGTGTTCTCTCTTTTTCCAAGGCAGCAATTGTCAATTTAAAAGTAATCAGCATTGATTGAATCATTAAAAGTAATCAGAATTGATTGAATCATTAAAAGTAATTACCATTAATTGAACCATTATTTATTAGAGACTCTCAAATCTAAATATTGCTGCGATTTTAATCGAAAATAGCAGTCAAATAATTTTAAAAAATGCATTTTATGGTTCAATGTATTTCAATCAGGGTTAGATAATTGATTTTTTGAAACTAAGTTGAGTTAAAATGGGACATCCTGTATATCGAAACAAATTGATTTTTTTCACAGATCATTACTCATGTATTTGATAATACAGATTAATAATCAGTGTTTGCTGTTATCTAAATAAAATTATATAGTTAATCATCTAGATGAAATTTTGGTGTTATTTTATCTTTATATAGATAATAAAATATGTATTATTTATATCTACATCTTAGATAAAAAAAGTATTATCTTTATTAAAATATCTAGAATAATGTTCAGATAATTTGGTTTAATCATAGCACATAAAAAATACTTAAATATTTTTGTTAAGGAACAAAAGTTAAGCAGTAAGTAATAAAAACTTACAAATAAAAATATAAATATATATTTTTATATTTTTCCCTCCTATAATTTACATTTTTTGAATAAATGTGTTTACAAGCAATCAAAATAATAAGTGGTACAAAAATAAATTAAAAATAAATAAAATAGAATTTTAAAATCTAAAGTAAAAAAAGAGAAGGCAAAAGAGACAGAAATCTTTTACAGGAATAATAGAAAAAAAAAGAAAAAAAAAATGATTATAACTTACTAAAGAACTTACGAAAAAAAAGAAATACTTGTGAATTGCCAGAACTACATTGATATATGATATAAAAATAGGTATCTAAGTTTGTGTGCAAGTGTTTTTACTAAAGTATTTTTACTAAACATATTAATGAAAAAATCTCCTATATGCACAAATGTCCATAAAAATAAATTCTTTCCAAATCATCAAAAATTGTACATTAGCAGGAAGGCTTCAATATAATTTTGCTCAACCATCATTCTCTTAAAATTTGATATTTTATCTCCTCCACTCCCCCTAAAGTATGTATGAAGATGTATCCAAAATTTAGTACAAAATAGTTTAATGCACAGATATTTATGATTAATATAAAGAAAGCAATTTTTTTTCTTTTAATATACATAGAAAAAGAATTTCTTGTTCTGTATGTATAAGTAATAAAAAGAGAGAACATTGAAACTATATTATATTCTCCCTCCCCCCCTCATTCTTTCTTTATGTATGCTGTTATTTACAACAAATTAGGGAAGATCGTGAAATATTCGGCGATTAAAGCGATGCGAGAATTTATGAAAGCAAAAAAAGTGCCCGAGAAAAAAACACTTATACGAAAATTCTTGAAGAGAGATCGACAGAATCTCACATGGAAGCCGTATTTCTACAGAAAAAAACAAAAAAAAAGTACGATCAGAGATAAAAAATCTCGAACATGATGGCTCCCGTTAACCTCTCTTGCGCGGATTCTAGCCGGAATATTAACCTTAAAAAAGCACTATACGTGAGTCGAACAAGATTGCCACTTACTTTAAACTCTTAGCTGAATGTTCAAGAATTAGATGATGAGGGAATCAATGTTCCCTCTTTCCTGTCTTTTTATCAAATGTTTCGTCCACCGGATGCTAGTACTGCACTCCTCGAATCCTTTTCCTCTTCTGGTCCGTTCTTCCTTTTTGCCACCCCTCTCTGCTGCGCAGCGAAGTGAAGTGAGTCGACTACGGATGGAGCGCGAGAGGTGATTGGAGGAGAGTTGAACGCGCCGACCAATCATCGTCCATCTTCCGAAAGGCGGGAAATTTGATTGATCCTCACCTTGTTAGAATTACTTTATTAAAATCTTGTATTTTAAATAATATATTTAATAAAATTTATATATATATATTCAATTATATATTATAAACTTATATACATATATAAATTTATATTATATATATATGTATATATATATATATATATTAAAATAAATTAATAATATAGACAGAATTATATTTTCTAAATCAAAGGCACTTATTAAGTATCAAATAAAAGCCTGACAAAAGATTATCCAAACAATTTACTGCTGTAACTCAAAATACTTTCCAGTAATTTATATTATAGTTGCTTTCCATTTACATCAAAACTCAGATAAATCTCACTTTTTGTCTTTTCTTAACATAGATGTTGAAGAAAGATAGAAGTAAGATTTATCTGACTTTTAATAAAAATGGAAAGCAACTAATATTACACTATAATCTTCTATAATATATTATATATATGATTTATATTATTAAATATTATTATATGTACAATTCGTAAAGATAGTAAATTATGCATAGATATTGTATAAACATTTTTATTAAGATATGTTATTCTAGAGATTAAAAGTATAATCAATGTTAAGAATATAGAATGTCATTAAATTTTCCTGATTTATCTTAATACTAACGAAACTCAAACATTAATGAATTGACTTATGTGTCCACAATTTCCACAATCATCGCATATAATTCTTATTGTTAGTTCTCAACAAATATAACACAATTCTATAAATTTCAAAATATATATGTTCTATACAGAGAAAATATTATAGTAAAAACTGTAATATAATTTTTGTAATCATAGAATATATTTATAAAAGTAAAACTCTTCTCTCGACCGTACTGGCAAATATTATTTATTAAATCACAACATTTCGACCCTTCTTTGAGTCCTTATCAAGTGATCTATATATACCATAGAGAAGAAATACAGTACAGAGATTAATACAATAAAAAAATTACTTCACTTAACAATATTACAAAATAATAAAAAGAAGCGAAACATACTTGTGAAAATAAAAATAAAATTATAATTTTAAGTGTCAAGAACGAATATACTGTCGGTTTGACAACACGTCAAGACTCTTAGACGAGTTATGAGAGACTGAATATATTTATGTATAAGAGAAATCATGATATTTTTATTTAATATAATATATATAATACGTATTATATTTTACAAAAGGTATCATAATTCAAATATTTTGACAAACAAATGTATAACCACTATTGTGTAAACAAATGTATAATAATTAAACAATAGAATGCATAATTTATAATTTGTATAATAATAAATATTTTAATGTTGTTGTCAGTCACTTCAGTTTTATAATGAATACATTGTTAAAGGGAATGTGTTTTTCATGAAATTCATATTCTAAAATTTTCTCTGTGTAGATATCTCATCAATTTTCATCAGTCGAGTCATAAAGTCGAATGATGAGATGGAAGGCACATTATAGCACTTTGTTAATGACACAATATAGATGCAAATGTAATACTTTTTTAATAATAAAAGCTTTCAAAATGAAAATTTTTCTTCTGAAAAACCACTTAAAAAGCACATCAGTTTTATAATATCTCATGATGTGGAAATCTATTATCTTTTGTAATTATAATTATTATATTTAATCTAATCTCCATTATTTTAATATATTACAAAAATAAATCTCATATGAAATTAACATTAAAAATCAATGATTGCAAATGCAGAAAAAGCTTTGAGTAAAAGTTAATAGAAACATAATTAATATAAAAGCAAAAGAATATTAAGAAAATACAAATTATCAGAAAAATTTTAATTTTGAAGACTGCCATCAGAAAAGTGTCTCATTACATATAAGCGTAATATAATTCCATGGCTCATAGGGAACTTTCACCAACTGTGCAAATTCTTTCTAAGCCCATAAAACCATAAAGAAGAATAAAAAAAAGCTTGGGAAATAAAAATTGACACTAGGAATAATTATGTGTTAAAAGTGACATTTCTTAAGCTTAGGAGAAAGAGATTATATTTTTAGACTGCGACAATCAATTTTTGATTGTCTCAACACCTTCGTTAAATCAAAATCAGGTAAAATATAATATCGCTTCCTAGTGTTCATGTTTGAATGTCGCTGTCCTACTTAAATGAAATAAGCATTTGTTTTATAATTATAAATTAAACCTTTATTTTTACCAAAAGGTATTGAGTAAGTATATTTTATCAAGATCTAAAATGAATGGAATGAAACAAATATTTAGTATGTAAAACCAGATACACTTTCATATAGAAAAAATTGATTGTTTTATATAAAATATATTTTATATGTATATAGCAACATATATATAGCATTCTTTTTATTTTAGGCCTGTAATTACTCGTGCAACTATTACAAAGAAAACTATGATATATCACTTTTGTGCTTTAAATTAGATCCGTTATTAGTGTAAGAGAATTATTAGGTTTGTATTTTTGTAATACCATAAATTTCTTTTGATTTTTCTTTTCATCTTCTTTTATATTGCTCTCTTGTCACATACAATTATATATAAAGAAAGCAAGTAAAAGATAGCGCGCAAATTGCATTTTTTGTATACTTTAAAATAAAAATGAAGAGGAGATTTCAGAATAAAGGAATTCTAGTAATAGAATGTTAAATTGTACTTATTGAAAATATCGTAGTATTACCCTAATAATACTCGTACACTTTATTTGGTATTTTCCAGGATAGACTTTTATACACAAAGAAGAAATTAACAGATAATATACACACACACACATATATATCTATATATATACATATATATATGTGTGTGTGAACATATAATACAATTGAAGGCCTGGCTAAAAGAACCAGTCAAATAAATTTTTTCAATATTGAAGGAATTAATATATATGTATAAAATACAATATCAGATATTGTATTGAAAAGTTTCATTACATATTATACTGAATAGTCAGAATGTTGATAATCAAAGCGTAATGCTTTTGTGAATATAATTACAAGATTATTATATATAATTCATTTCTCCTTTTTTATATATATAATTTTTATTACAAGAATTATTAAATATTACAAATTATTAAAGAAAGTGAATTTAGTTGGTTCTTGCAGTCATACCTGCAACTGCTATTTATAAAATTCAATTATTATTATTAATATATATTTCGTATTTAAAATTTGTATGATATAATTTATTATATACAAGAATATATATATATATATATGTGTGTGTGTATGTGTATAATATTTATACACATATACATATATATATAAAATTAAAATATAATTATTTAATAATAAACTCTAAAGCGTGAATCAAACAACAATGAAAACTTGCCGTAAAAAATTTAACATTTGATAGATGATCTATATTGATCTATAAGCACATTCTGACAAGCTAAATTATGGATGGCAAGAGGTCCCTTGGACTTGAGCTGACTGTTTCTTACGCATTTTCTGAGCACAAGTATGAACGTGTATGAATTTTTACCTTTTCGAGGTAATAATAATGGCACTTGACACTTGCATAAGTATTCTATTACAATATATAACACTGGGGAGAAGATACTTTACTTCTGAAACGCACACTAGACATAAATATGCAAATTTGGATCCGAACCTTCCCTTTTAAATTTTGCTAATACATCTATGTCATCCAAAAATTATAAATCCTAAATTTTATCACAGTGCAGTTTTCCCTTCGTTCTAACTGATCGTATGAAATAGGAAAAAAGATGTAAGAACATGACAAAAATGCAACTGCAATATCGACGTATCACGTAATTATGAGAGAAGTATAAATATAAATGCAGAAATGTCGCCAAATTGTCTCGTATGATCGAGAAATCGTGATGTACTGTTGATGATTTCCTGTTCTGCCAAGTGATTATATAAAAAAATGCGAATATTAAATGATCTCTAAACTTTTTGCGTTAAAAATCGTTATCCCAACCGGAAATATCATCGGGCGGTGGTGGATCGGAATCAACCGGATAAGCGTCGAAATTTGTAGTGTCTATAGCGCTCTGGACTCGTGGCAGTATTGGCGGTTCCAGAGTTCTCGTCCTGAGACCCTCCCAGTTAAAACCATCGAACCATCTGCAAGGAATCCATAGAGATAAAATTTTTTTTAAATATTCTTTTAAAGTGTTAAAATCGAAATATTGCTTACTTGTGCTTCTGTATCTCAATAATACCGCCTTTTTGATATCCGAGACGTTCTGCTGGATTATCCCTAGAAATAGAATAGAATCATTTAACGCATGGACTTTTATCATTTATATATCGCAGACATTTATATATTGTTACAAATATTGCTATACTATAGATATATCAAATAGATGGAATACTTTTTTAATAAAAAAAAACTTACTTCGTATAATGTATTTATACCTGCAAAGCTTCTTGATAAGCGCCATCGCGTTACGTGTGATGGATCTGGGAAATTCTATAGCGTCGATTCCTTTCAAAATAATGTTGTACGTCTTCATTGGATCGGCACCGGTGAAAGGAGGTGTACCCGTAAGCAATTCAAACATGAGAACACCGAGGGACCAATAATCGGCGCTTATATCGTGACCTTTATTTAGAATGACTTCCGGTGCCACGTATTCTGGTGTACCGCAGAAAGTCCATGTCTTTCGTCCATGATCCAACCGTTTAGCAAAACCGAAATCCACGAGTTTAACATATCTGAAAAATAAAATTAATTTATTAAAATACGATACACATATATGTGCACGATACATGTGTCAATTTAATATATTTAATATATAATATTTAACATAATATTTAATTTAATAATATAATTAAGTATATCATTTAGTTTATATTATATTTATATATATTATATTTATATTATAATTTAATATTTAATATAATAAATATAAATATTTTAAATATAATATATACATATCAGGGTTTATTGTCTCTCCTATCTTTTAAAAATAATATCTACTATCATATAAATGCACTTTTACCCTTGATTATCTAAAAGCAGGTTTTCTGGTTTAAGATCTCTATAGATGATATTTCTGGAGTGCAGATAATCGAATGCTTCCACGACGCATGCGGTGTAAAATCGCGTGGTGCCGTCGTCGAAGTGCCCCTTGTCCCTGAGGACGGTCCACAATTCGCCGCCGAGGCAAGCCTCCATCAACATGTAGAGATACTTCCTATCCTTGAAGGTTTTGAAGAGCTTCACTACGAAGTCGCAGTCCGCCTCGCTCATGATCCTCTTCTCCGACATAATGTGTTGCTGTTGTCGCGTCTCGACGATCTGCGCCTTCTTCATTTGCTTGAGAGCGAAGGATCGCGTGTCGTCTCCGGCAATTTGAACTAATTCGACTCTTCCGAAACCACCCACGCCGAGAGTCGCGATGGTCCGAAGGTTTTGCAGCCGTACATCCCGGAATTCCTCGTTCAATCTGAAGAAATCGTCGGATTTCAATATATGTTTTCTCGTCTTCTCTCTCATATTTGTCATAAAAAAATCAAATGTATGCTTGCAAAGTCGCAACTAGATTTATTTTGCACTCTAAATATTGATAAATCTTCATTAATACGATATGTCTTTTTATTTTCTATCGTCAAACTTACTTGAAACGTAAAGTTATTCTCCCATCCTAATGTCAAGCGTGGAAATACAATATTTATATATAGGAATGAATATAATGCATGTAGTTATAATAATATCAATTGTAAAATACTTATATAAGGAGGACTTAATTTTCACATTTAACAAAAGATGTATATTTAGCAAGAGAATTATATTTACCTCCTACGTTCCACCAACTCGTCCCTGTATCGCGTTCGGATTTCGTCCAAGGATGAAATTAATTGATTAAACGTTTCCCGGTCTATAACTAAACAGCTTACTCCTTCTGGATCATCAGCAATAATATTAGCAGTTCTGAGATCATCTCTGTAAAAATACATTATATTTATATGCATAAATATTTATATTTATAATGTATAATTAATATATTGTATTATATTTATATTATTATTATTATATTTATATGTATGAATATATAATATATTTATTAAATATATTTATATTTATAAAATACTTATATATTCGAGTAGTAATAATTTCTTTTAATATTGAATATATGTATAACAAAAAATAAGAAATTTTCAATTATAAAAACATTAATACAATCTTACAATTTAAATGTATTCAATAGTCGATAATAAATTTACTTGATAACGATAAATGAACAAGAAAAATAAAATAAAATAAAATAAAAATTAAATTATTAATTATATTCACCCTTGTAAAGCTTTCTCTCCGAAAAAGTCGCCCTTCCCTAATCTCCTAATGTGTTTCTCCTCTGTTGTATCGGGTTGTTTGATGGTTACACGTACTTGTCCCCTACTGATGATGAAAAATGTGTCGCCTCTTGCCCCTTGCCTTATTATATAGTCGCCATTATTGTAAAACGTCTGCGTTAGAGAGAATACAAAATTAATAATCACAATAAATAATAATTCATATATATATATATATATATATATATATATATATATGTATAATATTGTATAATAATATGTAATAATAATATGCATGTTTTGTCAAAAAGAGATGAACATCTTACCTCTTCTAAAACATCTGAAATTTTGATTAAGGTTTCCTCAGGTAGGTTCTTAAAGATCGGAACGCTGAAAACAGAAATTTTGCATTATTCAAACGTAAATTAGTATATGATTTTCGTAAAGAGTATTTTTAAAAAGAGTAAAAAAATTTTTAATTGTTATGTAAAAATATACTCCTTTCATTTTCTAGACAAAGAATGCTATAATTCCCGATTTCGATCGCAGATAATACTGCATATAAAAGTGAAATATTTTCCATACAGCAAAACATTGATCATTTATATTTATACAATTGACTTGGATATATAAAAAAATCTCTGCGAATTGTTAATGCATCTAATTGTCAATTATTTTATTGTTTTCATAATTTCTTATAATGAGAGATTACGTAAAAATTGATCACTATATTATATTATGCACACAAATTTATATATTATATATATATATTATTGTATATTATATTAATATATTATAGACTGTTAATATAATATTGTCATGAATATAACCGCAAGCTTAATTAACACGTCATAAACTAATTAATTGTAATGATTCCATACATTTTTAAGATTTAATAACGTAATTATTTTTCGGCAAGAATGACGTTGACTTTCACAATAACTAATGCTTTTATAAAAACAATGTAGAATTTTATTTTTCCCTTTCTTAATGAAAAGAATAGTTCCAGATAAAATTGAGAGAAAATTAAGAATCAATTCATTAATTGCAATTAATTATAAATTACACTTTTACTAAAAACAAACGCTTTGATATTTTAATAGACATTTGCATATCTAAACGCTAAAAATATGCAATATAATATATAAAATAAAAATAGAAAGCAAAATATAATTTATTATAAACGTCTTAAGGAATATTAATTTATTAAAATTAATAATTCATTAAATAAATAAGGAGTACTAATTTATTTAAATATTACCTAAAAAAAAATTGAACATTTTTTTTATGAAATTTACATAAATCGTGATACTGAAATAGATCGTGGATAAAAAAAATCGTGCATAAAATTTGAAAAACTTAAATATCGCAAAAATTAAATTAGACATATATTTTTCAAGTGCTAAATAAAAGTAAAATTATATAGAAAAGATTATTTTGTTTAATTAAAAATTCCCTAAAAATTCCTAAAAATTCCCGCGATCATTAGCTATAAGGTTTACCTCTTTAAGAAATCCGTATATTCCGCCTGCCTGGAGAGGCCAGTCCTCATCATAATGGTTTGGAAGCATTGTCGGTCGATGGCCCAGAGATGACAATCAGTCGCCGCAGTAATTGTCGCTGTCCTCTTGCAATTGTAAAGAATCGCGAGCTCACCCAGAACCTTGCCGTGTTGCAGAGTGCTGAGATATTTGCCATCTCTCGATACTTCGACCTTACCCTCTGAAAAGAAATGAGAAATCAGAGATGTGATCATGTATAAAGTACACAACGATTGGAAAATTTTATTGACGTGAATTCCAAGTCTCTTGAAATACACGGTGGCAGATTTTTTTATCCTGCAGATTGAAATCTAATTTAATCTTCAATGTTATACGTATTTATCATCTTATCTGTAGCACATCAAAACGCTGCTTAAGCGCTTCAATCAACATTTAATCGATTTTATTTACAGGAGAAGAAAATTAAATTATCAACTTATGTAAATTTTTCAGATTACAGGGTATCTATTTCTATTCAAATTTTGCAAAAAAAATTCCCTAATTTTTCCGGTATTTTCGTTAAAAATTTTAGGTAAAATAAGACTCTATTGTATACTTCGAGACTGGTATTAAAATTAATTCGTCTCGTAAAAGTTGGACTATAGTCGTCGAAATGTCGTCGATGTGCTTTATAAAAATAAAATTTATAAGAATAAAAAAATGGAGTCACTACAATTATTTTTTCAAACACACGCTAACATTTTAGCAACTATTATAATTTGCGACATTCAGAAGGATTCGATAACCTCTGAAAAGGATTTATTTCAGATTGTATTAAGTCAGCCGAGATAGTATCGAAGAAATTAAATACTGACTATACAATTTTTATCATTTCAAATGTTATCGCGTTACTTGATATTCTTTGCTTACATTTTTTTAATGTACTGTTGCAGAACTCGCTGTGTAAAGATTTAAATATCATATTAAATATATGTACATCATATATTTTTTTAAATATATGTATAAGTAATTTTTGTCTGCTTAATATTCCATTATATTATATCATTTTCGCTTTATGGGAAAATACTTGAATTATTACATAAATATTATGCAAGTGTAATTTAATCGGTTACAATCTAATGGGGTTTTGTATAAAACATGATATTTCTTTCTACATTAATTTCAAGATTTATCTAGAAAGAAATATCGTGTTTTATATAAAACCACATTAGATATTAGATATATTTTGTATAATTTTATATAAAACCACATAATGTACGTTTGTAGAAAAATTCGAAGAAGAGTTTTATTTACATATATCGTTAAATATATATAGAATAGAAAAAATCCACATTAAAAAATAAAATACATATAGACATAAAATATATGACACAAGGTTTACGCATACATTAGAATGTAAGATTACAAATAGATTTTATCGTAAATCGTATAAAGTAACTTTAATAGAAAATTACAGATCGAGACAATTTTTGCTAGTAATTTTTTCAATTTTCTTTCACAAATTTTTATATTATTTCCTCCAATTTTATATTTTATATTTTCACGATTGTTAATACCTGCCTTTTTGGATTATCATTTCTTAAAGGATGAAATTTATAAAGGGCTTTCAAAGACGGGAATGTAAATTAAAAGATACATAAATTTTATTTTTTTAGGAACGATATATTAAATTCGACCCAAACTATAGCCAAAGACAATTTTTATTTTATTTCCACAACGTTTCGACCATCTGTTTTTGGTCCTTTTCAAGTGAGAAACTAGAATGATACAATTAATTAAGATTAATAAGAATGTTTCAAAAATTCCGATATAATCACATTGTTTAATAATGACAACAGTGTCAACTAACTGCACTTTTATTAAGAAAGTATGTAAATCTTAATTTCTTGCGTTTAACATCAAAATGTTTATCTTTATTAATCTTAATTAATTGTAGCATTCTAGTTTCTCACTTGAAAAGGACCAAAAACAGATGATCGAAACGTTGTGGAAATAAAATAAAAATTTTCTTTGGCTAGTTTGGATCGAAATTAATATATCGTTCCTATTTTAAATATCACTAGCGACGTTTTATTAAGTATTCAATTTAATTTTTTATTTTTTTGTTAATTAATCTGCTGAAGTAGGGTCCGAAGAAAGAACTGAAACGTTCAGATGAAATGAAGGAGATTTTAGAACAAGTTTGCTCGGCCAATTTCTGCGCCTGGCTTTTTGATTGTTCGCCCGTTTCCTCTACCTGAATTTTTCTTCTCGTTATCCTATCGTTCGCCAGGACTTGAGCGAGTTCGACATTGCGACAGGAGACAGATAGTCCATGGCCGTATTGTCCCGAGAACGTTGCTTTCACTTCCTCTCGCGCATAACGCTTAGTACGAGTCATACAAAAGATCCCGAACTGGTTTCGCATCTTGCGAGTTGGATCATATCCTTTTCCATCGAAGGATCAACCATTGAATTAAGCGATGTCACGACATGACACTTAGATTTATTTATATCTCCGAGAAGAGCCTCAGGCATCTTATCCTCTCTTATTTTACACATATTTTTTATATACAAATTTCTATTTTTAAGTGGCTGAATAAATCAATGTTAAATGCAAAAAATTTCATTTTATTAATTTGTATATTGAATAAAACTTATTAAATAAAAATAAAATAAAAATATAGTTTTTAATAATATAAATTAGATACTTAATTTTGTATAAATTTTTAATAAAATTATTAAGTTATTAAAATTTAAATCAAAGTTTAAAATATAGAAAAAGATTAATTAAAAAGATGTAATTTTAAATTAAAAAATTGAAATTGTTTAACGTGTCTCATCAATATTACAAATGAGCGTGTAATTTCTCCCTTGACTGAATCACGAAATATAATTAGATATCCATAAGTTGATCCATTAATTCATCGAAACTCTTTAACTTAGTATCGTTTTATCTTTCTTTAGAATTAAGTAAAATATTAGAACGTAATTATGTATCAATCTAAGATGATAAGATAAGGTCAAAATAAATGATTGAAATATAACACAAAATTAGTTAAAATTTAAATTAATAATTAAAACTTAATAAGATAATATGTATCAAAATATATATAAAAATATATTCTAAAAAATATAAATAATATATGTAAAAAATATATGTATACTAAATATAAAATGGAAAAATATATACAAAAATATATATATATAAATATATAAAATAAATATATATAAAAAATAAATATAAAAATATATACAAAAATTAATATATAAAAATGTATAATATATTTATAAATGGAATTACAAAATGATCTATCTGTATACAACGCATAACGAAAGCTTGGAAAACTCGGAGAATGTTGATCGTAGTGCTCGCGTGCGTATCGTTGTTATAAACTTTGGAAAGTGCACATAATGCAACACTAATGAAGGAACAACGGGAGAGTTTTGGCGAAAAAAAAATCAGGAGCGCGAAAGATGCCAGGAGATTAAACGCACTTCGCCATCAATTGCAAAAGTTTCCTGCAATTGTTATCAATGCCTAGTGCACCGGAAAGATAAAATGCATTTGCAGGTGAAAAGACTTAAGCAAGAGACGTATATGAATACGAATCTGAAGAGCAAATTTTTGTCGGACGTTTCCTCATAATAATTATCCGCACATTAGTCTTCGTAAGAAAAAATAAAAACAGATCTGCAGATAAATGGAAGCCACCGCTTCAGAAATTCATTATCTCTCTTTCTTCTTCACGTCATCCCAAAGCACACAGACTCGCCGATAAATCACTTCTTCCCATTAATTACAGTTATCTTGCATAAAAGTATTTTATTTCCTCGGCAAAAAGAGATTCGTACAAAAGCTGTCTGTAGAATAAATGCATGAAGCCCGAATAGAAATAAATAAAATATGAACTCTTAATATATAGGGTGTTCCGTAAAGATCGGATCAAGGCTTAAGGGAATGCTGGATTGTCTGTTCTCGACAAATATTATTTTTATTTAACTATTTATTGGCTATACAGAATAAAAAAAAATTCTTTACTAAAATTTAAGTATTCATAGTAACAAAGGGTTACTATACATATATGAAAAAAAAGTTAAATAATTACAGATTTTTTTATCGGTTAATTAGGATGACATAATGCAAAATAAATGGTTAAATAAATAGCCAATAAATAATTAAATAAAAATAATATTTGTTGAAAAAATAGAGAGCATCCCTTTTTAAAGGAAAATTCGTGGGATTATTTGGAGACGATTTTTCGTTTTTCCATTTTATGTATTTTATTTTTTTAATGTGATTTTTTAAATTTTGTCTAATGTAGTTTTATGTAGTTTTAAAACACGATATATTTTTTTCTATATAAATCTTTTTCGAAATTAATGTAAAAGAATATCGTGTTTTATATAAAACTACATTAGATTGGAAACGATTAAATTATACTTGCACAATGTTTATGTAATAATAATTCAAGTATTTTCCCATAAAGAAAAAATGATACAATACTAAATTTAATTACAAAAAAATGTCGAGAGAGACCATCATTTTACTTATTCCCAATTTTTGCTATCATGTATCTTCCTAATTAAGCCTTAAATTACAATTCTATTGAAGTAAACTATTTAAAATTCATTTAAGAACAAGGTTTTGTTAATATTTTGTTTTCACAAGGCTTAATTTGCGAAGAACCCTCTATTTTCAATTATTGGCATCTCGACATTTTTGTTGAAAAAATCATCTCCAAATAACCTGACAAATCTCCCACAAACGGGCGATTCGAGAATTTCAGGACACCCTGTAAATCGCGTTTCGCGAGCCGGAACCTCGAGTGTCGGCGGATTATGCAGATCACGTAGATTATATTCTTTTTTTATGCGCATCACCGTCCATTAAACATTTACAAATAACTTGTGCATTCACAGCGTATTGTATATGATAAATTATGTAAGTGCTACAAAAGTCGAGAGAGTCGCCAGCTCGATTTTATCGCTTTCGCAAGAATAAAAGATGCGTCAATCGCGACGCGTTTTGCAAAATAAAATCGAAACCATTTATATTATATATGTATATTAAAACGCGGATGTTTCTGACGTGTCATCATATCATTCCACCGAAACAGCTGATTACGCGCACGGCTCGTGTTTAATAAATATTGCACTGATTATACGTTGTATAATCTAAGAATCACTGCCACGATTAGTCATTATTTTGTATCACCTCGCGTTAATTCATCGATATCG